TAACAACAAGAGGGGTCACAGACATAAGACCAGCTGTTAAATAAAGCTCTTCTGACCTTAGCTGGCATGTGGGTATATATTAATGCTGCCCATTATGGGCACAAGCAATTTTCACCCATTTATTAATTATATGTTTTAAATGTGAGTGTTTCCTATCCCCTAAACCTCCAGGGATGTACACAGTTTAATACTGGTAACTGACAGACGTGCCATGTTGTGAAGCACACAATAGCCAGCATGTGTAGTTCTGGGGACGGGGAGGGGGGGACGGGGTGGATCCGTTCAAATCCAGTTTTGGACAGTCTGCCGTGGTTCCATCCCATTTCAAAGTGCTGTTTGACGCTCGGCGTAACCCTCGGCGCACACTCAAACATCCAATCACAGAGCTTGAGGACTATCACGGGGTTTGTCAAGCGAAGCGGAGAGAATACTTACTTCCGGGTGTAAAATTCTCTAAAGCAACTACTATGAGCTGCTCCGACCCTCGGTCCTGACGGACTACAACTTGTGTTTATTAATCAAACAAATAAATAAACACAAGGATAATTATGTGTTATTGTTGAGTAAATAACAGTGTGTGGTTTAGAAAATAATACAAAATTAGAAGGAAAAAACGATGAAACAATACAGATTTCAGTATTCTGAGCCCCTACTCTCCCCATAACTGACGGCAACAAAAGTCCTACATTATTCAATTAAAATAAAGAAGTAAAAACAATAAGTGTGGCTTGATATTGAGTAAGAAAAAGGTTGATAAACGCTGTGAGAATGGATCTGCGGGTAGCATTCGCTCGCGATCTCAAGTCGTCTACAACATACGTTTAGGGAGCTATATAGAAGCCTATGGACATCCCTGAAAGTTGAAAATGTACGCTAAGGGCCGCACCTCTTGCGTTGGAAAAAGCCGACACAGGGGACCTTGACATAACGTCAACATAGGCCGACCTGGGAGTGAGGATGTGTTGGATGGAGCAATACATCCGTACTCTAGTCTAGGGGTCCCTAATGTTGGATCCATTTGGAGGCCCAGAGTCGTGTTGCAAGGGTTTAAGAATTGTAATACCACAATAGAGTGGTGCAGGAACGAGTCGTAAAACCCGGAAGTGAGTTAGCATTTTACCACTACTGGTTCCCTCGTCTCAGAGTCAATGGGATTTCTCAATAGGATTTTGGAAAATAGCTCGAAATAAGGTCTGAGGTTGACACAAATTTAAGAGACGGATCACGTTTTGTTCTACGACATGAAATACATCAGCAGTGACCCCACTGGTGATTTTTGAAGAGTTTACGTGTCTGAAAAACGATGGTTGTTAACAAGTGGCTGAATAGGACTACAGAAGTTGTCGAGGACGTTGTACGTCATTACGCCGAACACGTAAACACTCCCGCTAAGTTTGTTTGCCCCTGTTCTGCTTAAATGCAAGGACCAGCGCTCTTGCAAACTGTTAAAACAAACGCTTCAACTTGTACAGTTTTGAATCTGTATTTTTGAATATCGATCTTAGGTTGGCGTGACGTTGAAGTCGTGCAACCCTGCTGTACTCGGCTGTAGTTAGTTTATAGTATAACGTTAGCATTTTGATACTCTCCTGTTTTTTTCTTTACACTTTGTCATGTACTTGATGATACAGCTCTGCAGCTGAAACCTGTAGCTGCTCCCCATGTTACAGTAGCTTTTAATAAGTGTGAGGCCACAGGTAGCCTGTAGTCAGTGTATTCAGGTTAATCCCTGCAGTTCTAAGGAGCTACTGTGATGTCAGCCCCCGCAGCTTTTAACCTAATTCAATGACTCTAATAACTATCCATGCTGTTTCTCTTTGTCTCTCTGTCTTTGTCTGAGTAGTTCTCTGTGTGCTCCCCTCACGTATCTTTATCTTCCTTTCATTTTCTCCATCCTCACTCCTCTTTCCCCACCGCTTCACTATCTACCTAGCCAGCCAATCACCTAATCGATCCCCTTCTCATATTCTTTGACCCCTCCCATCTAAAGATGCCCCCGGCTGCGTCCTACTTACCCCCCCTACAGAGATAAAGAGCTAATTGGAAATCTCTCTACTAATTAACCTTCTCCAGGCTGAAAGGTATTTATATCCCCTTCTTTTTGATGGCGAGATGAAAAAGGGAAGGAGAGGGGGGGGGGGGGGGTAGTAGAGGGAGGAGGAGGAAGGAAAAGGGGGCGAGAGAGCTAAGAAATGAAAGTGAGCGATGGTAGAATAAAATGAATGTGGTTGGAGGTATAGCTAAATGATGATGAAGAGAAAGTGTAATTGTGAAAGTAAAGAATGAGGTAGCTGTTGCATTTAAATATAACATCCATGAATCATTGCTAATTTCTTAATTCTGTAATAAATTCTGGCACCTGGTAAGAGTCTGAGGAAAAAATAGATTTTGCGGGATTGCAGATGTTGGAGGGGCCGATGATAATATAACGAGACTTGTCCATGTTCTTCAGGCGTGAGAAAGGGGAAAGGCAGGCAGGGCTTAAAGGAAGTGTAATCTAACTTAGAGTAACTCTTGTTTGATACACTTTAGCAAAAACTATAAAAAAATTGCAACACAGATAACATTATGTAACCATGGTTACTATGGTAACATTGTTTGGTAACTACAGTCTATGTTTGGTAACACTGGTAACATCATGTTATACTTGTAACAACATGTAACCACGGTTAAGTAAGTAAGTAAGTACAATTTATTCATAAAGCGCTTTTCACAGACACAGTCACAAAGTGCTTGACAAAGCATTAAAACATCATACGATTGAAGAAGTGCTAAAAACACAATACATTGTGAAAAACACAAGAAAAACACAAGAAAAACATAGAATAAATAGAATAAAAGCACACAAGTTACCCAAACGCCTGCCCAAACAGGCATGTTGCACAACTAACATCATGTAACAAAGTAACAACACTAACATCGGGTAACACCTGTAACGTAATATAACACAGGTCACAATCTGTAACCCTGGTAACATCCCGTAACCCCCGTAACATCCTGTAATACTGGTAATATTCTGTATCCCCGGTAACACTGTGTAACCCCGGTAACATTATGTAACACCGGTTACACGGTGTAACCCTGGTAACATTGTGTAACACCAGTTACATTTTGTAACCCCGGTCACATCATGTAACACCGGTTACACGGTGTAACCCTGGTAACATTGTGTAACACCAGTTACATTTTGTAACCCTGGTCACATCATGTAACACCGGTTACACGGTGTAACCCTGGTAACATTGTGTAACACCAGTTACATTTTGTAACCCCGGTCACATCATGTAACACCGGTAACTTTGTGTAACCCAAGTTATACAAGTATAACTATGTAATACCACTGATTACATTGTGTAGCATTGTGTAACGTCAGTCTGGTTTAACCGCTAACATCGTGTAACACCGGTAAGCTTTTTCCTCGGGAAACTTAATAACATTTCAGGTGAGGTGGCTCCACTGTGTCCCTCAGCAGGACAAAGGACAGTGTGGATGTGAGTGAAGGACAGATAATGAAATATAAGAGGAGTAAGAGTGACAGTCAGTGAGTCAGCCAGCCAGTCAGTCAATCAGTCAGTGAGTCGGTGTGGGCGGGGAGCAGAAGGTGCAGCAATATATGTGAGGAGGGGGAGTGAAAGATCTCAGGAGAGTAGGAGTCGAGAGAGGAGAAAGAGAGTGGTTTCAGGTTCCCATTGTTTACCATGCCACCTTTCTCTTTTCACCCCCCCTCTGGCAGAAGCTGATGGGGGTCTGTGGAGGGTAAAGTTACCTGGCTATCGTCCCCTGCTGTCTCCCTTTTCATTTCCCCTTACACTCTCACCCACACCGCAAGCATATCCATAACGGCTGCTGTATCGCTTTTGGATCAGCACTTTAATTCCCTTGAATTCCTTTACATTAACATTTTAGTTTTTTAGATATGGGTTTGTTAATTCAATGCTCCTCAGAGTCAGTCACATATCTTCTGATGGTGTTTGGTTCTGATCATTATTATTCATTTTGCTAATGCATGTTAGTGTCAAATAATAATTACAGAGTGTGCATTGTGAATGATTCATTAGCGAAAAAAGCTAGATGAGTCAGGATTGTATTTGAAATACAGAAAATGATATATGTTTGGTGGAAGTGATCACAGGAACATAACAGTTTTTCAAATGTGTCAGAAACAGGCTGCGATAACAAAGCAGTGAAGAGAACCGCTCCAGGCTTTGCTTTGGGACCAGTAGCTACATCTATATTGTATATATACCAGTCGTGTTATGCTGCTGGCCAAAGTGTTTCAATGGAACCAGCGTATGGCAAAGATTGTCTGTGCCTGCTTCAGAAAGTCTAATTTCAATGTTCCCCTACCGCTTTACTTTACTTAATTTATGTGCACTTACTTTACTTTTTCACCTCTCCTTGTTTTCTCAATCTGTGCATGACTGTGAGAAATTCTCTGTGTTCGACTCTCAGGACTTTTTTTAGCGTCTAACAAGTAACAAGTGATGTAAATAAATGAGTTACTTTTAAATTAAACAGCATTTATTGATTTTACTACTTCATAATCAAAGACACAAACAATAGACTTTTATTGCTAAAAATATATCTGAAACAAAGGCAATCAACAATTTTGCAGGTATTATTTGGAAAAATAATTTAAAAAATACACGCTTAGCCACTCACTCACCAGGGGAAACACTTATAACTTGGATTTTGGAATATGGTCTGAACAAATAAATGAAGTTGCAGCTCAATAAGCCTGTTTGGAGGTCTTGAGGCAACAGCAGCTGAGGGGCAAGTCCAGCTCATATTGAGGCCTGTCAACTTTATACTGCATTGCAAAGCAGCCCTGCCAGATGGTCTGGTAATATATCCCAAACCATGAACGTCTGCTGTATAAAAAAAAATGCTTTTTGTTACACTTTAGCATTAACTTTAACCCACATGAATCCGACCATGTGACGGGGTAGAGATGTTATTTTACGTTCCTCAAGGTTTCAGATCCTTTTCTTGTTTTTCAGTTGAAGACCCAGGGCCACAGCTTCACTCGTGTCCATGCCCCCTGGCCCGTACTGTGTCGAGAGGCCGAGTTTCTCAGGATTAAAGTCCCCACAAAGACGGTGAGAGCTCATTACCAGCTTACATTTTCTTAGCAGTAAGTCCCAAATATTATGTTTCTGGGACCAGCCACAATCTGTTGATGTTTGATTGTTTTTTCTATAGTGATATTACAGAAACACAGAGACTGATGCCTCTGCAAGGCCATTTAATGTTAAATAGATACTTTTTCATCAGAGCAGCAAGAGACCATGGGCATTAATGACCAGCATTTGTAATAACTAGACTAACTATGTGTCGTGTGTTTCATCAGAGTTATGACCTTAAAGAGGAAAGTGGTTTCGGGTCCACTATGAGCACAGTGTGGAGGAAAATGAACCAGCCTTTCCAGCCCAAAGTCCCACATCAGGACCATGAATGCACCAAGTTCCTCACACACTGCTTCTCCAGGGACAAACTCCACCTGTGAGTAACAAACTCACACTCACACTCACACTCACACTCACACACACTCCTGCAAAACATCCTTTGTTGTTTGAAACCGCAGAACTCAGGTTTTTCAAAGATAAGCAGAAATCACACAAATATAAAGCAACACTGCGTCACTTTTTAATAGAAGTGGCTATCTTATTAACTATCTTAAAAACATAGAAGTTTAATTCATTGCATTGTTAGTTAACATACTGTACATGTACTAAGTAATACAAACTAAATTGTATTCCATTCCAAAATTCACCCTGCAGTTTAACCCTAAAGCCTTTGTGTAATGGCAAGCAGTTTGATTTGAGAAAATAAGAACCAGTTACTACACTCCACTGTTTAATTAAAGAGTCTTCCTGATATGTTTGCATGTGATACACTATATAAATACAAAGATGAACACACAGAAAGTGCTCACATTAGTAATCGTTGTCTCTTTTAGGTACAACATCACATCTAAAGACACTTTCTTTGACAATGCCACACGGGGCCGAATAGTAAGTGTTGATTCAAATTTGAATCCGATTCTCCTTTCTGTTTAAGTTTTCGGACGATTAGCTTTTATCTCAAGCCTGATGTTCTTGATTCTGTTTCAGGTGTATGAGATCCTGCGACGGACGGTGTGTGTACGGACCTGTCAAACCATAGGTGAGGACCAACATGTGTGTCTGTGTGACTGTCAGTGATTACATGAACGATATTCGGGGGTAAAATGGTGCACAGATCAATTGATGATTCTGTCCAACTCGGTTAGCAAGAAGCAGGAATTAGGGCAACATCATCTTAAATCCCTTTTTGAAGTTTAATGACCTCGTTTGTTTTTTGGAAGTCACTTTCTTAAATAGCAGAGGTCACCCGAAGAGGTTATATATCACAATACTGGAGTCTAAACCTGCTTTGACTTAATGAAATGCTTTATAAGCCCATCTAGTAAAATGTTGTGAGGCCAATCACAGGTTCATACTTTTACACCATCCTCGATACAAGTCAAAGTGGTCAAGTCAAAAGTGTTGGTATTGGCCCTCAAAAAAGTAAAAGCAGATGCAGTCTAATACTTGTCCAGGGTGAAACAAACTGTCAGTAGCAGGTCAAGGTTGTGCTGAAACTCTGGGAGGTGATATTGATATGCCTGCTGGGAGTTCAGTGAGGAGGTGAAGTCGAGCACAGCTGGAGACCCAAACAAGGAGTGCGATGATTGGATAATTGGAATCGGCTAGCACCATTTGAAAACTCGGGTAGATGAGTTTACAATGAGCGTTACTGCTGGATGACGAATAACCAGAGAGCGTTACTGCTACATGACGAGCAACCAGAGAGCTTTTTAGTGACTGTCACTACTACATTTTCGAAATGAGCTCCAAGACATTCAACTGTTTATATTTGTATATTTTGATCACATGCTTACAGTATAACATCTGCGTGCATGTACAGTATGAGAGCCTCCATATAGAAAAGATCTGACACCCTTTTGATTTTCAGTGTCCACCATATGTCTGCTTGGCTTTCTATCACAGCAGAAGGTCTCAGCCAGAGGCTACTGGGGGAGCTGTAGGGAAGCTGGAGAGACTTTCCTCTTCATGATTGGTGTATTCATTTTGTAACACACACTCGTGTCTCCTTCTCCATTTACTACACAAGTGGGTCATACTTCCTGGGTCATGCAGAGATTAAAGCAGGAGTTGTGGTAGTGTCTAGCTGGTTGAGTGAGCATGTGTGGAACCACATTTTTTTATGTTCAGCCTTTTCATTTTGATTTTTTATATGAAACACGTGTGGGCACATTAATGAGCTTTTCTATTCATGCCTTTTCTATTTTATACACGAACATTCATACAGGTTGGTGAACCTGAGGGATCGACCTATTGGACGACAAAAATACTTTCTGTGTGTGTGTGTATATGTGTGTGTGTGGCCTATTATTACTATACTTGTGGGGACCTACATCTGTTTACACAGTCACGTGTGGGGACTCGCCTCCCTTATGGGGACACATTGGAGGTCCCCATGAGGGGAATCATTAATTTTAGGGTGAAGACTTGGTTAGGGTTAGGGTAAGGTTAAGGGTTAGGGTTAGGGTTAGGCATGTGTTGGTTATGGTTAAGGTTAGGATAAGTCCCCAGGAAATGCATGTAAGTCAATGTAATGTCCCCTGAAGTGATGTATACATGGTATGTGTGTGTGTGTGTCGTTTCATTTCATTAATAGCACAGCTAATCACTACAAGGTTCCCGGTCTCCTTTGAGGCACCAATAATTAATTGATTAATTAGGTTGCCTGTGTCAGGTCATCTGATGTGTGACAGTGTGACATTCACAGGTCAGGATTCCCTCGAGAACACTCCAAAGACTCAAAGCAGGAGCTACGTGAACTAATCCCATTCTGCCTAATTGAAAATCTGAAGGGTGTGGCCTAATGTGTGTGTGTGTATTTCGGAGGTTGTAGCTTGTTGATACTTATAGACTAGTGCTGCAAGATATGCGTAGTCTCCTTCTTTCAGCTGTATTCTTAATTATGAGAGATCATTAAAGGGGCCATATTATGCTCATTTTCAGGTTCTTATTTGTTTGTTGTGTCTCTACTGTGACATGTCTCCATGCTTTAATGTTCAAAAAGCTCTTTATTTTTCTTATACTGCCTGTGCTGCAGCACCTCTTTTCACCCTGTGTCTGAAACCAGAGCCCAGTCTGCTCTGATTGGTTAGCTGGTCGGCTCTGGTCAAGCGCTTAGAGATGTCCCGCCACTTAGAAAATCACATACAATGTGTGGAAGTGCTTGCCAATAGAAGTCTCAGTATTACAAAGGGAATCCCCAAAGATAACATAATAGGGCCTCTTGAAGTTCTTTAAAACCTGGGATTACCGAGTTAAATTTGTACCTTATTTCATTGAATGGTTCACAATTTAGGAGGAAGTGCAGCGTTGTCGAAACAGTGGGCACATATTCTGTATTTGTATTGTTGTCTTCCAGTTTGAGGTCACTGAGCCTGTACTTAGTTAGAGTTTGACATGGCTTTGTATCTCTGACAGTAGAAGGACATTCTTCCTATTCATAAGCTCGTTTTAATTTAAATAGTTGCTGCTCACAGTATATGAGAGGGGGCAGTTAGTCACCGTCTGATATAGGGGACTCTTTTCTGGGCTCACCTTGGCTTTGCAGGGATTCAGATTGTAGGAATTCTCAGGGGCTGGATTTAAGGTTTGGTTTAAGAATCGATCTCCTCTGAAGTGTATTGTCAGTGCCAGGGTATCTGCTTAATTCTGCTCTATCCCTGTCTCTTTGTGTCTCTCTTTCAGGCATCAGCACACTGATAGCTAAAGGCGTGTATGACGCTGCCTTCCCTCTTCATGATGTAAGTTTTAAACTCCCAGCAGACGTCCTCTGGTTTCACTTGATTTCACTAGCAGTGCTTCTCAAAGTGTGGTCCGCGGACCACTGGTGGTCCGTGAGCGCCCCCTAGTGGTCCGTGAGTATATTGGTAACATTTCACATTTGAAATAAATAAATACATTTAAGTTTTCCGCACTCTCGCGGGAATATCTCCGCAATGGAGCGAGCTTAAGTTTCACCTTCATCAAACATGTTTGCCACTTGTTTGTACCATTTTCAGGCAATTTGTAATCTGTTCTAGAAAAACGATGTGATTTTGGACATTTGTGGAGTTAGGTGGTCCGCGAGTGTTTTTTTACTGGTTAAGTGGTCCTTGGTATGAAAACGTTTGAGAAACACTGCACTACAGGATTCAATATGCAGAGAATGGAAACTGAAGTTCAAAGAGTCAAAGCTTTGTTGCGTTGGTTTGCTTTTGCCAAAAAACTCAAATAAATATGGAAAATGGATATCTCCAAGTACACTGGAGAACAAAAACGACATAAGCATATTAAAATGGAAAGTAAAAGTGACGGACCCATATACTACATACCAGAGTCCTGCACGGGTCTGATTTTCAAGACCCGCTCCCGCCCCGCACCCGCGACGTGCAATACCGAACCCGCCCCGCTACCCGCACATATTGCCAATTAGTTCCGCAACCCGACCCGACCCGTCGGCACAAGATCCGCAACCCGACCCGAACCCGCATAGCCTATGAGCAGTGAAAACGTGCAATTATTAACACACGCAGTTGCATATTTGTCTCAAAAAGCGTGGGATGTTGGTTCTTTCCTCCATCTAGGATGACACCAGAAGCCTCCTAGACGTTGGATTTCGCTCTTGAGGAAGTGTTATTGAAAATGCTGTATTCTCCGCTAGAGAGCTTCACCTCAGCCATTTCGATTGTGGCGCGCACAGCAGCAGATTGATGCGCTGCAGAGGTTATGATTATGTGCGGTCCCGCGGGGGAGAGGTCTGAAGATTTAAACATTAAACTAAATTACTATTATTTTAATATATTTATTATGCAATACCCGCGACCCGACCCGCATCATCTTTGTTTTACCCAGAACCGAACCCGGAAAAAAGTGTTTGAAAAAATACCACCCGCGAATCACCTTTTTTGCGGGTCACCCGTTGGGTACCCGCGGGTACCCGACCCGATGCAGGACTCTGCTACATACACACTTCATTACAGTTTGCACACTATTTACCATTACTCTCGAGCCCTGATGGTACCATTACATTTTTATGATTTTTTCACCTTGGTACAGAAGTATCGGTTATCATGACGTCCTTTATCTGCTGTTTGATTTTCCTCTTAAAGAAAATGTAAGAAATGTGTTATTGGATCAAGATACATGAGTGATATTAATGTGTCTGATTATACTGATAGTATACCAGTATGTGTCGAGCACAGAGTGTCCTTGAGTTTGCATGCCTGTGTGCACTCACCCTCTCCTCTCTTTTCAGGGTGACTATAAGGTCATCGGACAGCCTGAGGAGAGGAGCGACAGACAGGTAGACCCACTTTCTCCTTTCTCTCTCTTCACCTACTCTCCTGTATTTATTCTCCTTCTCCTCCTCCTCCTCCTCCTCCTCCTCCTCCTCCTCCTCCTCCTCCTCCTCCTCCTCCTCCTCCTCCTCCTCCTCCTCTCCATTTGTATGTGAAAAGCTACTGCAATGCTCCAGTTCTTCAGAAAGTGACCTTGCTTAGAGTATGTCATTGAGTATAATAGGAAAAATCACTGTCCTCCAAAAGTCTTTTATACATAACCTTTCCTTTTCTGAAAAACTCCCCTTTCTAAACATTAGTCTATTCTTTATATTGTTCTCCTTTTTTCTGAGGTTGTTCCTCCTTCCCATCTGTTTAATATTGTCACAGATTGGACTTTAAGTTTAGCAAACATTTCCCAGAAGTATAGATTGACTGACTTGAATTCCTAAGGAAAGAGCCAACACTGTTTAGTGGTTAGCAACCAAAAACCAGAAACGTACACATAACGGTGATTTTCTTTGAGCATCAAGCGCCAGACTTTTTCTTTCTTTTCTTCCTCCTTGTTTCTCTTAGCTTTGGCATAATGTTACTGTAGATTGAAGGACCATTATTCATTATCAAACACAGGGTGGCACAACTAAATACGGTTGTAGCTCGGTCCAAAATGTGATTGCATTTGAATCAGGAGAATTGTCAACAATTCACAAAAACAATGGTGAGTTCTCTGGGCAGACACAAATCTTCCTCCCAATCATATCTTTGACTTCGTCTACTGAGGTTTACCACATCAGATTAAATCTGCTCTGCCTCTAAGGACTCTCTGCTACAAACACACACACACACACACACACACACACACACACACACACACACACACACACACACACACACACACACACACACACACACACACACACACACACACACACTGACGGTGTCCTGTCTGTTGTCAGGTTCTTCACGACGAGTGGGCCAAATACTCCGCCTTTTACAAGTACCAGCCCATTGACCTGGTCAGGTAAAGTGACCACAAATCACATCAGTAACTCATCTGTATTCAGGCTTAATCTAATTTACACACATCGCATTGCATTCTGGTAATTGAAGTTCACTGACTGACCTTTGTTAATCAGAGATCCAAATTCATGGTCCAGAACGAGATCATTGTGTTACAAGAGTTGGATCCTCAAGAGGTGATTTGATGTAAATTAAGTAATAGTAATTAGTATAATTAATAGTAATGTTATATCCATCCATCCATCCATCCATCTTCTCCCGCTTATCCGTGGTCGGGTCGTGGGGGTAGCAGTTCCAGCAGAGAGCCCCAAACTTTCTTTTCCCTGGCCACATCAACCAGCTCTGACTGGGGGGTCCCAAGGCGCTCCCAGGCCAGCGAAGAGATATAATCCCTCCACCTGGTCCTAGGTCTACCCCTTGGTCTCTTCCCAGCTGGACGTGCCTGGAACACCAGCTTAGGGAGGCGCCCAGGTGGCATCCTAACTAGGTGCACGAACCACCTCAACTGGCTCCTTTCGACGCGAAGGAGAGGCGGCTCAACTCCGAGTCCCTCCCGGATTACCGAACTTCTCACCTTATCCCTAAGGGAGACACCAGCCACCCTGCGGAGAAAACCCATCTCGGCCGCTTGTATCCGCGATCTCGTTCTTTCGGTCATGACCCATCCTTCATGACCATAGGTGAGGCTAGGAACGAAAATGGCCCGGTAGACAGAGAGCTTTGCCTTCTGGCTCAGCTCCCTTTTCGTCACAACGGTGCGGTAAAGCGACTGCAGTACCGCTCCCGCTGCTCCGATTCTCCGGCCCATCTCACGCTCCATTGTTCCTTCACTCGAGAACAAGACCCCCTTGAACTCCTTCACTTGGGGTCATATATAGAAACTAATCATTTCTAATAATTAGTTTTTCATATAACATTCTTCTGCCATTTTAGTGTAACTACGAGCTAATTCACATTATTAACTACAGGTCAAGTTATTAATAACCCGTATTTATGAATTTATGAATGTATGAATATTAATAGTTTTATTCATATTTATTATCATAGCATGGCTTGCTCATACCAGAACTCCAACATTTTGGTGGCTCTTTTGAGGCATACACTGTCCTGATGAAGAAGATATCTGAGCTTTCCAAACTTTAACCTGTGATTGTTTCACATTATGTCATAAACATTGAATTTTTTCGAGGCTATATTTTGGTCTGAGGTCAGTCCGACTGAGCAAAGCCGATCAATGAATGAATAATAATGAATAACTGAAACAACAGCATGCTTCTTATTCTATTTTAGGCTCTAACATAGCATGTCAATCGGAGCCTCAATGTTTCACTTTCTCCTCCTAACCCCTGACCTCTGACCCCACAGGAAGTACTTCGGGGAGAAGATCGGACTGTACTTCGCATGGCTCGGTGTTTACACTCAGCTGCTGATCCCAGCCTCCATAGTGGGAATCATTGTGTTCGGATATGGAGTGGCGACGGTGGATACTAATATACCAAGGTACTGCAAAGTGCACTGCGGCTTCATCTGAGGAGGAGCACTAAAATCCCACGTTTCAGTTTGCAAAAATGAGACAAAATCCATTTGAGAATTATCTTTTTTTTTGCATTCTTACAGTACAAACATTGATCTGTTTAAATGCCATAAATGCCTGTGAGACAAAATTATGTCAGATACAATTAGATCATTAGAAAGATATACACACACACACACACACACACACACACACACACACACACACACACACACACACACACACACACACACACACACACACACACACACACACACACACACCAGACAGGGATTGCCCAGATACCTGCAGCTTCTGGCTTTAGAGATGCTTGTGTGGGAGGAACACAGAAGGGACGGCTGGCACTGTGTATGACTGTGTGTGTGGGTGTGTGTGTGTGGCATGAAACAAAATGTAGATAGTAGATCACACACTTAACATACCCTGTTAGATTGAATCCATGCCTGATGCACAACCCCAGTTAATTTGATACTTTTTTAGGTTCAGCTCAATTGTTTGTTTAAAGCATCCCAATGTTGTTAGAGGAAGCTGCTCTGTGACTTAAGTCTTGACCCCCCCTTTCCTCAGTCTGGAGATGTGTGATGAGCGTCTCAATTTCACCATGTGTCCGCTGTGCGACGGAGCCTGTGACTTCTGGCACCTCAGCACCGCCTGCGGCACCGCCAGGGCTTCACACCTCTTTGACAACCCCGCCACGGTCTTCTTCGCCATCTTCATGTCTCTGTGGGGTGAGACTGTGTGTGTGTGTGTGTGTGTGTGTGTGTGTGTGTGTGTGTGTGTTTGAACAGGTTGACTCAATGTGAAGTTGCTCTTTGATCTTTTCTCATCTTATAACTTGAATTCAAACTAAAATGTAAACAAAAACTAATTGTAGTCCTGCTGTTTATTGTTCTTTTAAATGCTACATATATATATATATATATATATATATAATATATACATACATTTTCACTCTCACACACGTATATATTTACACTCACGCATTCATACATTTTGCTCTCATATTATCATATTTCAATGCACACATTCATATATTGTCACTCACATATTTATACATTTTTCACTCACACATATATTTTGCTTTCATATTCATATATTTTAACGCTCATATTTATACATTTTGCTCTCATGCACATTCATTCAATGTTTACATTTCATATTATAAATAATGTATGCATGTCTGAAAACAATATATGTATGCAAGAGAAGAATGGTATGGTTGAAACGGTGTGATTGGCTCAGAAGGTTGAGCGGGGCGGGTTCAGATTCAGAACTTCGGATTCAAATCAACATGATGGAGGGACATGAATCCGTATATCTATCTTCGGACCATTTGTTTTTCTTTATTAAAAAAGTAAACGGAAGAGCGTCTGCGAGGCGTTTTTGCTTTTAGTTTTTTACCTTACTAAATGGTCTAATGGTCATTAAACATTGAATGTATGTGCATGAGAGCAAAATGTATAAATATGAGCGTTAAAACATATGAATATGAGAGCAAAATGTATGTGAGTGAAAAATGTATAAATATGTGAGAATGAAAATGTATGTACAGTGGGGCAAAAAAGTATTTAGTCAGCCACCAATTGTGCAAGTTCTCCCACTTAAAAAGACGAGAGAGGCCTGTAATTTTCATCCTAGGTACACTTCAACTATGAGAGACAGAATGGGGGGAAAGAATCCAGGAAATCACATTGTAGGATTTTTAATGAATTAATTGGTAAATTCCTCGGTAAAATATGTATTTGGTCACCTACAAACAAACAAGATTTCTGGCTCTCACAGACCTGTAACTTCTTCTTTAAGAGCCTCCTCTGTCCTCCACTCGTTAACTGTATTAATGGCACTTGTTTGAACTCGTTATCAGTATAAAAGACACCTGTCCACAACCTCAAACAGTCACACTCCAAAGTCCACTATGACCAAGACCAAAGAGCTGTCAAAGGACACCAGAAACAAAATTGTATCACAAGAACAGTGAGCAAAAATCCCAGAACCACACGGGGGGACCTAGTCAATGACCTGCAGAGAGCTGGGACCAAAGTAACAAAGGCTACCATCAGTAAAACACTACGCCGCCAGGGACTAAAATCCTGCAGTGCCAGACGTGTCCCCCTGCTTAAGCCAGTACATGTCCAGGCCCGTCTGAAGTTTGCTAGAGAGCATTTAGATGATCCAGAAGAGGATTGGGAGAATGTCATATGGTCAGATGAAACCAAAATGGAACTTTTTGGTAAAAACTCAACTAGACGTGTTTGGAGGAGAAAGAATGCTGAGTTGCATCCAAAGAACACCATACCTACTGTGAAACATGGGGGTGGAAACATCATGCTTTGGGGCTGTTTTTCTGCAAAGGGACCAGGACGACTGATCCGTGTAAAGGAAAGAATGAATGGGGCCATGTATCGTGAGATTTTGAGTGACAACCTCCTTCCATCAGCAAGGGCATTGAAGATGAAACAGTGGCTGGGTCTTTCAGCATGACAATGATCCCAAACACACACCGCCCGGGCAACGAAGGAGTGGCTTCGTAAGAAGCATTTCAAGGTCCTGGAGTGGCCTAGCCAGTCTCCAGATCTCAACCCCATAGAAAATCTTTGGAGGGAGTTGAAAGTCCGTGTTGCCCAGCGACAGCCCCAAAACATCACTGCTCTAAAGGAGATCTGCATGGAGGAATGGGCCAAAATACCAGCAACAGTGTGTGAAAACCTTGTGAAGACTTACAGAAAACGTTTGACCTTTGTCATTGCCAACAAAGGGTATATAACAAAGTATTGAGATGAACTTTTGTTATTGACCAAATACTTATTTCCCACCATAATTTGCAAATAAATTCTTTAAAAATCAGACAATGTGATTTTCTGGATTTTCTTTCTCACTCTGTCTCTCATAGTTGAGGTATACCTAGGATGAAAATTACAGGCCTCTCTCATCTTTTAAGTGGGAGAACTTGCACAATTTCTGGCTGACTAAATACTTTTTTGCCCCACTGTATGTAAAAGGAGAATGTATGTGTGTAAGAGTGAAAATATATGTATGTAACATGAGAATATGTGCGTGAGAGGACCAGTATGAATTACGGCCTGTACGGCCCCTCATACTTGAGGATGTAGTTCCAAACCTTACCTGTTCATGTGCCGAAATACATTTATAGAATACATTATGAAACTTATGTGTGTGTGTGTGTGTGTGTGTGTGTGTGTGTGTGTGTGTGTGTGTGTGTGTGTGTGTGTGTGTGTGTGTGTGTGTGTGCGTGCAGCGGTGCTGTTCTTGGAGCACTGGAAGCGCCGACAGATCAGTTTGAGCTTCAGTTGGGATCTGACAGGCATCGAGGATGACGAGGTATATAAAACACACACACACACACACACAAAGTAACATGGACACCATATATAAAGCAGCTTTTACAGTTCTTATGGTGACTTATGGTAACTGTGAAGTAACATAACCTCGTTGTGGCAAAACAGATAATCATTAAGACATCCCTCCTGCACAACTCCTATTTGAATCTTCCTCCTTGTTCTTCTCAGGAACATCCCAGGCCAAGATACGAAACTATTCTCCTTCAGAAGAAACAGAGAAAGGAGAACAAAGTTAAGAAGAAAAATAAGAAGAAAAAGAACGAGGTAGGAAAGATAACAACCCTTGGGACCACATTTCCACAAAGCCTGACTCCCTAACTCACGACTGAATGCATAATTGAATATGAACAATGTATACATTCCGTTTTTGTAGCTGGGACTGACTGCCAACAAAACCAAGGGAAACGTATTTTATTGTAAACTATATGCCCCACTTCGCGATCATGCCTCATGGTTACAGTCAGCATAGTGGTGCAGGAATGAGTCTTCAAAGGCGCTTTCACACCAAGTACTTTTCCCAGGAATAGTTCACGGAACTTTTCCCCAGGAACTTTTATTTCCCCTGAACTATCTAGTAAATCACGTTCTTCTTCTGCTCTGTGTTTACTGGCAGGCCGCAAACAACTTCACGGCGTATACTGTACTGCCACCCAAAGTTTGATTGATTGATTGATTGAAAAGTTTATTAACAGCTTGTATATTGGGTACAGTACAGTACAGCTCAAAACATACAATTGTTAAGGGGATGCAGACCAGAGAAATACTTTCGTCTTGTTTACATCAGGGTCCCCCATTTCCAATTCATCATGTCATTTAAGACATATAAGACATATTTGACATACAGATGGCTTATTTACAATTTACATACAGGTGGTTTTTTACATACAGATGGCTTATTTACAATTTTCATTTTAGATTTCGTTCTAATACATCCTAACCGGACATTTAAGACATACCAAGTCTACAGATATACAGTTAGTAACAGAGTCTAAAATGCGAGTATATACATAGATGGGGGGAGGGGAAGCTGTCCATTGAACGACAGGTTGAGATTTGTACCATTACCGGGGCCAGTTTTGCAATGCTCTCCCCCGAAGGTGCTCTTTAAGAGAGGTTTTGAAGGTAAGTATAGTTTTACTTTCCTTTACAGTTGTGGGAAGAGCGTTCCACCTTGATGTGGCATAATTGCGAAACGTGTATTTCCCCTTTTTTGTGCCAAATCTGGGTTTCACATGATTTGTGGAGCTCCCTCTGGTGTTATGATCATGGTATTCCTTGACCTTTGGGAAGAATTTTGACATGTACATGGGTACCATAGAGGTGTAGTGGATCTTGTAGACCAGGCCCATTGCAAGTAGCTGTACTCTGTCGTCTACTCTAAGCCATCCTAGGTTGTCAAAGTGGGCAGAGGTGAGGTGGGTTCTAGATGAAAGGTCAAGCAGTAGTCTGACCAGTTTATTTTGCGATGTTTGAATTTTTATTTTTAGCGCCTTGGAGGTGCTATGATACCATGACGTGCAAGCATAGTCATAGTACCCTTGAATGAGTGCTCCTGCCAGAGTTTTCAGGGTGTTCAAAGTCAAAGGACTTTGGGTGGCAGTAAATCTCCCCGGGTAAATCGCCAGAAGCGCCGACACCTCCTCATCACTCCACCGATCCCACGTTTTATATTGTGTTGCCATAAGTTAGTCTCTCTCCATTGGTGCGCTGGGCTAATGCTAATAATGCTAATGCGAGGAAATAAAATGGCAGTGTCACAAAAACTTTTCAGAGTTTTACGGGGCGTGGTTTGCAATTCACCCAGTCAATCAGAAATTGGAACCTTTTTCTCCCCAGGAAAAAGTGGTGAAAAGGTTCCCGAAAAGATCTTTTTGGTGTGAACGCAACATCCCAGGAACTATCGGAACTATTTCTGGGAAAAGTATGGGAAAAGTAGTTTTTTAAACGTGGTTTTGCATAGGAACCTGAAATAACAAGCTGAAGAGATTCTAAAGTTTAGTTAAGTCATTAAGAACGGTGGTTGCTTACAAGTGTCTAATTGAGAATAATTAACGTCATCACGCCGGACATTATCCACCTCTAGTGGTGGTGATGCGAAGTGATTTGACTGTGCGTTGGTTATTTTATTGTTTGGGAAAAGTGTTGTTTTTTTAATGAGGCGGCGTGTGGTGCAGTGGATAGAGACTTGGTGTTCGGATCAGGGGGTCAGGTTACAGGTTTAAACCTCACTGCAGTCAGCATGTCGTTGTCTCCCTGAGCATTGCAGTATTGAGTATCTAAGTCGCTTTGGATAAAAGCGTCTAACAAGTAACTTGTAATGTAATGTTTTATTGCTTTTTACATTTTTTACAGCAAGGTTACCTCCAATCAGAGTTTGAGGCCCAGTCTTTAGCTCCTGATGCAGCCTTTGACTTTAGTGATAGTGATCATACATTTGTTTATTCTGTAGTATATTGTCTGTAGCTGCAAAGACATGGGAGGGTCAACACAGAGGACTGAAATCTGGAACTGTATTTGCATGTTTCTGCATAATGTGGTTTGTTAAATGTTTGTGTGTGTGTGTGTGTGTGTGTGTGTGTGTGTGTGTGTGTGTGTGTGTGTGTGTGTGTGTGTGTGTGTGTGTGTGTGTGTGTGTGTGTGTGACACCTGTCCCTCTGTCTTGCAGCCAGAGAAGCAGGAGGATGGGGCAGTTACAGGGAAGGACAGATGGAGACAGAAACTACTGTCTGCCATGGCTGCAGGAATACCGGTAACCCTTCCTCTCCTCCCCCCCCGCCTCACCTTCCTCTTCCTCCTTCCTTCATCGTCCTCTTCCTCTTCTCCAACCTTTTCCCTGTCCTCTCCTCTGTTTTCCGCCTGCAGGCCGCTGCCAATCTGTCCTTCTCTTCCTGTCCCATCTTCTGGCTTCTGTCTCAACTCCTCAGGTATTTCTTTGGATGTTAATCCAGATATCTGATGGTCACAGTCAATTCATATGTGAAGTGTCTTTGTGGGATTTAAAGCATTACAGACCTGTTTTTCATAGTCGAAGTTGACTGAAGGAGTTTCTCTGGTGTGTGAGGTGGAAATGACGTCCATAAAATGAATAGTTTTAATTTCTTTCTCTCTATACTACAAAGTATTTCGCTTAGGTCTTCAAATATTTATAATTTCGTGACAGTATTTTCAGTGATGGATGTCTCATTTATGAAGGAAACGTGTCTATGTGTATTTACTAAAGCAGTGCCTAGTTTTGGGAAACTATTGAGCTTTTAAAAATAACAATTTCTCTTGGAGATGCTGTTAAATATTTAATTCAAATAAGTCATTTACAGAAATTATGAGTCAGGTTTCTTCACTCCTCAAACATTTGTAACTTATCACATTAATAACATCTTTATGTACACCTAAATGAAATACTCGTCATTCAATTATGTCATTACAACCTGCAATAACAAGTCAATTGGTTTGCTTTGGAACATGTCTAATGTCATGCACCTCGAGCCTATTCTCTGTTGAGCTTTATTAAAAAGACAAAGAGTTTAAGACATGAAAAGAGACAAAGAGCATGACAGAGACAGAGAGAGAGAGAGAGAGAGAGAGAGAGAGAGAGAGAGAGAGAGAGAGAGAGAGAGAGAGAGAGAGAGAGAGAGAGAGAGATAGATATACGAGAGAGATATTAGAGAGATAGATATATGAGAGAGAGAGAGAGAGATACGATAGAAGAGAGAATAGAGAGCTAGAAGGAGCAGGTGAAAGGAATGAGTGGGAGTGATGAATGCTGGGCAGGAAGCCAGCGGTAATATCAGAGAACGTCACTATGGCGACACAAATTCCCTTACACACACTTCTGATGTGTTACCTGGGACATTGTGTGAGCTGTAGGATCAAGACTTTAGCAATAGGACTGGATTTTCTTGAATGTATTGCCACCAAGACACATAGTTATCTGATATGTGTTGTTCTCTCCTGGCTGTGGGGTTTCCCTCCAGTTATATACGTCTTTGATTTGAGCAAAGGTTAAAAACAAGCCTCACCTCGCCTGTTGAGGCTCAAAAACTGACATCCATAGCAAAGTTAGATCTCGTATTGAACCCAGATCTAGCACATCAATAATGGGCATGCAGATACTATTTAAGCTGCCCATACTTCAAATGATTCCAGTTAATTTGATCAGCAAGTCGTGATAAGTGTGTGTACTATGAGACAAGCAGGGTCTGGACACAAGTAGAAAGAGAGGGAAGGGGAGGACGAGCAGACTGACCTACAGAATAAAGACACGAGTTGAGCAGGGCTTTCCTCAACGGATGTAACATGCCAAATATAATACCTGACCCATTTACTACTACTACTACACCTACCACACACACAAATTATCAAGGTTTTTGTGTCCTCCAATAGTTCCAACTCTTAGGTTTATTAACCCTAATGTGTGTGTATACAATTAAAAAAATATGTATAGAAAAGGTGTGTTACCTAAAATGAGTAATTTTTCATGAACAGAATAAATAGAAAAGTGTTTGACAAAAACGTTATGTATATTTATTAAAGGGGACCTATCATGCAAAATGCACTTTTGTACGTCTTTTATACATGAATATGTGTCCCCGGTGTGTCAGGGAATTCACCAAGTGTCAGAAAACACAACCCTGTCTCTTTTCCTCCATACCCAAATCTCTAAAAACGGGGCTGCAACGGAGCTGATTATTATTTGAATATTTTTGACGTCATAAAAGGGGTGCTCCGCCTATATGGGCAACTCTCCACCTATCAGGGGAATGAGAGACCGCTCGAAAGCCCTGGAGACGCAGTAGTACATATGCCAGGCCTGTAGGTGGCGCTGTAGTCTGCCACAAAAGCAGCGAAGAAGACTTCTCAGAATCAGCCCTTGCAAAAACAGGGCTGGAAAAGAGCAAATAGAGCGAAATGAGGCATGGCTAAAATGCATGATCTGTTTGGTATTTTGAAAAATAAACTTCACAGACATGTTTTATATAGGTATGGCCCTACAATATATGTTTCAAATATAGCATGATAGGTCCACTTTAAGGAGCCTTGTCAGAGTAGGATTCATGTATCATCTCAGCACGATTTGGAACATCATGTTTCATCAGCATATGGAAACTGTTAAAGAGATGTTACAGCAAGATTAATCAATTAATCAATCAATCAATGTTTATTCATATAGCCCAATATCACAAATGTTACATTTGTCTCAGTGGTCTTCACAGTGTGTACAGAATATCAGTATGACAATACGACACCCTCTGTCCTTAGACTCTCACATCGTACAAGGAAAAACCTCCGGAGAAAACCCACAGTTTAAAGGGAAACATGGGAGAAACCTCAGGGAGAGCAACAGAGGAGGGATCCCTCTCCCAGGACGGACAGACGTGCAATAGATGCCGTGTGTAAATTGAAAAGATAATACATTTTACAGCATAGGTAGTCCAAATGTTTGGAAATGCATGTGTGTATAATAGGAAGATGAATCCACGAGGATATCCATCCAGGACCACAGCAACAGGCACAGCCACGACTCAAGATCCAGGGCTCGCGATCCAGGACACAGGACTGCAATTAATAAATGAGTTATTTTATTCAAAATCGTAACAGATGTTGAGGACAGATGCAGAGTCGAGGTGAACTGAGGAGAAGTGCTTATGATCTGAACATTCTTCATGTGTTTTGGGTTTGCACATGCTGGAATATATTGATATTTTATCTGGAATTCCAAGGTACACGTGTATTATTTAAAAGGAACTGTTAGAGGAATATCAAAGCTGCGCAACAAGTAAAGAGCAGCGTGTTGGATTAAATGGATGTTGCTGTGTATATTTAGTGAATGGTGTCAGAGTACTGTAGGCTGTAATGTGCCACTGTTTCCACAAGATGGGGCTGTTGTCTTTCTCATTACCTTTTGGGAAGTGTTAGATGTACAGACTTTAGGCATTGTGTGTGCGTGTGTTTATATAGCACTTTAAAACCTCCAGACCAAAGTGCTGTACAGAGAGATACATAACATATAAAATCACTCAGCTCACAAAACTAAACATAAATTAAATAAATAAATACATTTAAAATAAAAGATACAAACACAAAACAAACCAGAATAAACGTAACAATTACAAAATAAAAGACAGCCATATAATAAAAACAATAGACCACTGAAAGCAAATAAAAGCAACAATCTACTTGTTTACGAATGCTAAGGAGAAAAGGTGGGTTTTAAGACGGGATTTAAAAACAGACAGTGTGGGAGCCTGTCTGATTAACAAGGGCAGGTCGTTCCACAGTTTAGGGGAGGCAGTAGAGAAAGCACGGTCCCCTCTGCACTTAGACTTCGTTTTTGGCACCCTCAGGCGTGTGTCTGTCTGTGTGGTGTGTGTGTGTGTGTGTGTGTGTGTGTGTGTGTGTGTGTGTGTGTGTGTGTGTGTGTGTGTGTGTGGATCAACTCATAGGTCTAGACACGGCAGAATGACTGCAAAAGTAATCACTTAGGCCTGCTGCTTTCATTGACTTCTTGTTTATACTCACTAAATATGACCGTACTAATCAACGCTTATGTACAGTGACAACTTTTGAACAGAAATTCCCATATTCGTGCCTGGAAATGAAATCATGTGTTCCATGGAGACTGTGAGAAGATCCATTGTGCCTTTGTTGAAAACATGGGAACTGCCTATGGAGGAACTGAGATACACCCTTATGAACTCACCATTCAGTCAATGGATAAACACGTATTTTCTTTTATTATGCGTCAGTGAGCGACACCACAGATTTGGCCTTTATAAAAGTGTTGGATAACATCCCCTGTTTCTGCTGTGCTTCCTGTCAGGCTGCCATTGAGAAGCTGACATGGAAAGACCGTCTTCCTGGATACTTCATCAACATTTCCTCTATCATCTTTATGGTAAGAACATACAATCAGGTTAATGCTCAACACAGGATCATCATGTTCTGACTGTACATGGAGGAAAGCACTTTAAATAGAAAAATAAACATACAGTATATGACACGTTACTGTACATTAATGACTGACCTACTTGTATGTGTTTCTGAAATATTAATTCCAGACTCTGCACTGTCAGTATCAGATAAATACGGTCCAGTAATGACTTATTTATTTTCTTTCTTTGCTTCAGTTCGCCTTGACGTTTTCAGCAGTTTTCGGCGTCATCATCTACCGCATCACAGTGTCGGCTCTGATGGCGATGAGCCCCGACCCGGAGACCAAGTCCAATGTTCGGGTGACGGTGACGGCCACCGCGGTCATCATCAACCTGGTGGTCATTCTGATCCTGGATGAGATCTACGGCGCTGTGGCCCTGTGGCTGACTGAGCTGGGTACGGATACACATCCTGCCCAATGCAGTTTACCTCCCGAAAACACAAACTAACCAAGATCAAACAATGCTCAGATGAAATGTCCCTATCAGATTGTCAAGGTATTTCCATGTAGGGTAAAGAAAGGCTGCTGTTCTTATGAGAGAGTATACCTAACTTTTCTCATCTTTAGGAATATGCCATCTTTAAAGAAATACTTTTATACTTTTAGAACATATCTTACTAAAATCAATTATATTCCCACTACATTTAGCCTGTTTCCTATTCTTACTGGATACTAATGGGACTCAGAGGTTAACATAATCATACAGTATACATGATAACGTGTTTCAAATGTAGAGTATGGCTCAAGCATCATTGTAACAGTCAGCAGATTTACATGTGATAATCTTCATAGTCATACTCGTGTGTGAGTGAGTGTGTGTGTGTGTGTGTGCGTGCGTGCGTGTGTGTGTGAGAGAGCGAGAGTGTGTGTGTGTGTGTGTGGAGGTCAGTTTAATGAAACTTTTATGTTTTCATGCTTCAGTCATCCCATCAGTCTTCCCAGGAGGTTATAATCATGTCTACATCCATATTCAAAACCTCTAAAGTAGAGGAAAAGAATGGGAAGAAGTGTGAGAAAGAGGGAAAGTGTGTGTGTGTGTGTGTGTGTGTGTGTGTGTGTGTGAGTGAGATGCCATGTGAAGAGTGCTACTACTTTAACCTACTTCCAGCACAGTGATCCTGTTATGACTCAAACTGACACCCACTTAATGCTCTGCCGGTATTTTCCTGGACCTAAAACCATACTATAGAAATCATTTAACATCTATGTACTTCAAAACAAATTGTGCTCGTTTCTCCTTCAACATTCCTTCCAGCCCGCTAACTGTCCTTTCCAAACCAGATCATACCAAATCTCTTTCACTTCTCCTGTTTTCAGAGATTCCCAAAACAGAAACCCACTTTGAGGAGCATCTCATCCTGAAGGCCTTCTTGCTGAAATTCATGAACGCATACGCACCCATCTTCTACGTGGCTTTCTTCAAGGGGCGGTACGTCCTGTATGAGCGTGCGAATCCCTTACCTTTGAAAGACATGTATTCCTCCAAAAGCGTCTCATATGCTTCTTTCACATTACTAATTGAAGCTTCTCAATCTTTGTTGTGCGTGTGTGGGTGTTTACTCGCAGGTTTGCTGGTCGTCCCGGAAATTACGTGTACGTCTTTAATGATTATCGGATGGAAGAGGTTTGTTATCCTACTTTATATTTGTTTTCTTCTCTGGCCTAACACATAAAGAACTCATGGACCAGTGTGTGTGTGTCCCTCAGTGTGCACCTGGAGGCTGCCTCATCGAGCTGTGCATCCAGCTCAGCATCATCATGCTGGGGAAGCAGCTCATCCAGAACAACATCTTTGAGATTGGCATCCCGTAAGTAAGCTGTACACACACCCCTCTATGTGCTCACTACTCATCTGTAGGCATGGAAAAGAAGATCTTTTATGATGTTTCAGTGACTCACATACACACATGTTTCCCTTTCTCGCCCTAATAACATTCCTCCAAAGCCTGTACAGGGCTACTTTCTCCTCTCTCATCTCTCATCTCAGCTTTAACATGCAAATCCCAAAGGTCAGAGGTCGGCTCTGTTTACAACAACGATCACCACAGAGATGCCTTTTGACATCAGGCTGATCTGTTACTGTTGCTGTCAGCTCCACCTGACCTCCTGACTCTGCTTTCTTAATGACAGCACATACCATGATATCATCTATATCACATCTGTTCCACACATGCATCTTCTTAAAATCTCTCACACCTGCGGCCCCCCAGTAAAACCACAGTCTGTAAAAGTGGGCCTGTTTTACGAGGTAGTGAAGAGTGCATTTGAGGTTTTCAAAGGTTTAATGTTATGCACTTAACCTTAAATGCTCTTGTCTAAGCATGTAAGAGATTTTAATGTGTCCATTAAAAAAAAAAGTTAGAGGACCCCACAATCTCCCAGGTATGGCTGTTGTCCGCCTTATTATTAAAATACATAAATAAAGTGGATATAATAAAAAAGACTAATACCTTTAATCTGATCAATAACTTAATTCAAATTGTGCATTAAACCTCAGTAGAAACTTAAATGTAAAATAAAGGACAATCAGTCCAGTCCTACCTTAAACAAATTAGACTCAGCAAGACTGCTATAAAATAGGAATTAACTTCTCTTAAAGTAATATTGTCAAAAATACATTTTGGCAGACAGCAATGCAACAAAGTGGCTGTTTGAAATCAGGAAGGCAATCAAAAGAAGATACATTTCACAGTTTATATATATATATATATTAGGGCTGTCAGTCGATTAAAAATATTTAATCGCGATTAATCGCATGATTGTCCATAGTTAATCGCAAATTAATCGCACATTTTTGATCTGTTTTAAATATACCTTAGAGGAATATTTTAAACTTTTTAATACTCTTATCAACATATGAGTGGACAAATATGCTTTATGCTAATGTTTATTATCATTTGAACAATGACAAATATTCTCATGAATATTAAACACAACAACTTCTGAACATTACAAATATTCGCCTCAATTCAACCTGGAACCTAATACAATAAAAATGGTGTGTGTGTGTGTGTGTGTGTGTGTGTGTGTGTGTGTGTGTGTGTGTGTGTGTGTGTGTGTGTGTGTGTGTGTGTGTGTGTGTGTGTGTGTGTGTGTGTGTGTGTGTGTGTGTGTGAGAGATGGATCGTTGGAGCTATGTGCAACTCAAGGCATATGCTCGAACGGGAGCTGCCTGGACGCTGCAATCATGTTGCACTATCCGTGCTGAGTGTGCTGACTTCTCGTACAATGTCCCACTGTCTGGCTGCCTGCATAAAGTCAAGTGCTCGGCGCAGTTGTCGGCGAAATGTTGCTCCTCTGTTTTCATTTAAGCAGCTCCTTATATCTGTTAGCGCAGCTAGCTAGCACCAGATGCTAACAACAACAATGTACGTAAGGTCTCTCTCTCGCTCGCTCGAGCCACACAGACACACACCCTCCCGGTCCTCCCAATAGCCAGTCGGTGCCTGCCGGTGAGCGTGGAAGTGTGGTCTGCCACAAGCGGGCGGCAGGAGCGGGGCTGTCAACATCAGCTTGTAGATGGTATTTTAAACTCGATGCGCTCTGAAACTACGGGGCGGCCGAGAAAAAAAAATACACATGCGTTAATCGCGTTAAAATAATTAGTGGCGTTAATTTTTTTTTGCGTTAACGCGTTATTAACGCGTTAACTTGACAGCCCTAATATATATATGTTGTCCTCTCCTCTCCCTATATCTGTGTCTTGTCCTGACAGGAAGTTGAAGAAGTTGGTGCGTGCGATAAAGGATAAAGGATCGGCAGAGAAGAAGATGGAGGATGAGAGGCCTCCTCAGCAGTGGAACCTGGACTACGCTCTCGCTCCCTTTGAAGGCCTCACGCCAGAATACATGGAGATGAGTGAGTTCCACACACAGTATACCTGACCGCGGTCATAAGAAAGCAACACTGCTTAGCAATCAGTGTTGAAGGGGCCCTGTTGTCCTTTTTGGGCTTTCCCCTTGGTTTTGGTGCATGTAAAGGGTCTGCAAAAGCTAACATCCCAAACAGTTTCTCCCCCCCTGCCTGAAAAGCCTCCATTAGACTCCTTTGTTCACATCACTATGTAATACTTGCACTTCTACTGGCTAGCGCTCCAACACATTGTACATGATAGGCTAAGGGGCAGGACATCTCCAAACGGTTGACCAATCACAACAGAGCCGGTCAGCTAACCAATCAGAGCAGACTGGGCTCTGGTTTCAGAAAAATACAAATATGAATCTGGTAATTAGCATACATTAGCAGTGTGAGAAATACGGGGGGGGGGTCCGGGGGCCTGATTAACACCTGAGCCCCCCTGAAAGCCTCAACAGCTAAATGTTAGGGGGGTCTCAAATTATAATATTTATTTGTCACTTGCAATGGTCACTAAAATATTTTTAAGCTTACTATACTGTATGTCCAGTATTCATAATTCAAAACATTTATTCACAAATATCTTCTATTTTGGCTGGCAAAAGCATTTCCTCGCATAGAATCGAAAACAGACGGCTCTTTAACGGTCGCGTATTCATTCATTCATAGAATATATAACTATTTGACCGCACCCCTGAAGACGCCAGACGGCGCCCCGGATGAGAAACGCTGCTATAGACTACTGATTGTCTTGGCTTGCATGACATATTGTATAGGCCTACTGCATATTGAGAAATCTTCGACCGGTATATTGCGCAATAAACGGGAGATGGGGACCCCCCCGATTATTGACGGGTATTTCGCACACTGTAAATTAGCATAGATTATTTCTACAATTAGGTGGATTTCTGTTTGTTCTTCAGCATTTAAATGAACATGCTGCTCATCTGTGTCTATGCATCCACACAGGTGTAACAAAAGAGTTATGAAACTGATGATGTCTATGATGTGCTTAAAAGATAAATGTATGGATGACAGATTGTGGCATGACCACACAGCTAGATATTTCTGAGCATTTCTGCAGCTCAATGGAGTCAAAGTGCCGCAGCTGTTCAGCCTACATGTAGCTACAAGCCTGACTTTAGAAACGGGCAACATCTGTATGTGAAGGATTGTATGGCAGTAAAACTGAGATCAAAGCTGTAAAAAGAAAATTGTTAATATCAATTGAAGTTATTATTGAGTACATTTGATGTGTTCTGCTTCGAAAATGTTCTCCTATACGTAGGCTTCAGGAAAATCTACTGACTCATTGCCGTAGAAACATCTGCACTATAGGGGCAAAAGACTGGAATAATCTTCATATTTTAATTAATCATAAGACTTCAGTTAGCTTCGTCCCAAGTTTAGAAAAGTCTACAGAGGTTAGTGTTGTTTTTACTTTTGATATTGTTGTGATCTGATAACGTGGCGATTTCATGTGATATTGAGTGAGGACAGAGAGAGAGAGAAAAACAGCAAATAAAAGTGAGCCAACGTGGCTGCAGGGCGCAGCGAGGAATGTAAGAAATGCCAGAGTTCAACATGCAAATACACACTCACACAGAGCTGCTAGATGCTTTACTCCTTTATTATAAGTCTGTGTGCTTGTCTGTAACTGTGTGTTGCATTTAGGCATGTATCTGTGAGAATGTGAGAATGTGTGTGTGTGTGTGTGTGTGTGTGTGTGTGTGTGTGTGTGTGTGTGTGTGTGTGTGTGTGTGTGTGTGTGTGTGTGTGTGCCTCGAACCCGCCAACCTCGGCTCAGGTACATAGCGAGGTTATTCTAAGCTTGCCCTCTAGCGCCCGCCGCTGTCGTATTTTCTTCCTCGCCGCTCTTTGTCTCCGCATGGCGTCCTGAGGTGAAGCCGTCAGTCTCGGGCTCGCTGGAAACCCCCGTTCCCACACTGCTAAAGTTCCACTGATTCAGGGTGTACATTAGCCCAAGTCAGGCAAACTGCCTTGTCTTTCTCAAGTTTCCTCTCCACATTCTTAGGAAGCAGGTGGATGTTGTGCGATCATTTGTCGAAAGTTTATGATGTGATAAAGCTTATCTTTAAGTATTCTTTCAGAAAAGAGGAAGGAAAACATCCGTAATCTACCTTTCGGTGTTTCTTTTATTCACTTTGTATGTGTGTATGTTTTTTGCCCTAAATTCACCAACAGTTTATATTGCATAATGCTTGAAATGGAATTTAACAAGACAGCAACATTTGTAGGTAATCAACTGGGGAGGTTTAATGGTGATATTAAAAGTCATGAAAAATCCACTTTTTCACGTCTGTTATACATCAACATGTGTCCCCTCTGTGTAAAGACATTCTGAAAGTTTCAGGAAAAAACATTCTCTCACTTTTTGTCCTGATCCATTTATATAAAAACCTGTCTGAAAATGAGCTGATCAGATTTTGGCCACTTTATGATGTCATAACGATTTTCTGGCTTGTGTAACCATTAGCCAGTCACCAACAAGGTACCCCCCCCCCCCCCCCCCCTTAACACCTGAATCTGCTCCTAGAGCACCATTGTGTTCTTTTTGGTGTTTTAGCGAAACACTTCAGAAACAGGTTTTGTATGTATCTGAGACCTATAATATATTGATGGAAAATAGTATAATAGGGGACCTTTAAACTTTGACCCTTAGGACCTGTAGTGTCTTCCATCTCTGATCAGCCATCTTGATCTCTGGGCCTATGGCTGAATCTTCTCAGAGCTGCCTCTCTGCAGATGACCTCTGACGGCCTCTCTGTGGCCGTAGGGAAGCTGGAAGCCCGGACAAGTCCTTTAAGGCACTGCTTTTGTTGTTATTGAACTACTATTTTATTTGGCGGTAGTAAGCGAGGTAGCTGCTGCAAACAGCCCACAGAGCTAATATCCAGGGTTTGTCGGAATGCCTGTGCTTGTGATGTAATGTACAATACAATTCTATCAGCTTTAGCTTTAATAAATAGTCAAGGATGTTTGTGTCTCTAGGTTATCTAATCAGACTGTCTTACATAACACATACACAAAGTTCCACACACTGCTGAATCATAAAAAGTCCCAGTTTAGCTGGTGCGCTGGAGGGCCTTAAAAGGCATCATCTGAAGCACTGAACGAGTCTGGACACAGTCTGACCACCGCTTACAACCGTCAGTCTGACAGCGTCTTAGTGGCGCTTTCAATAGATTTCGTTTTCACGTTAGCCTCTGTTATGTGCCACAAAATAGTACATCCTGGTACTTTCAGCATACTGCATTTCATCTATTGGGAAAAAACTAAATATTTTCAGCCACACTAATTTGTACTGTATAGTATGTGTGCTGTAAACTCTGACATTTTAAAATATGTGTCTTAATGCAATTAAGCTTATTGAGTCTGTGAACATAGTCCTATCAATTGAATTGGAGCTCAGTGTTCACATGAGTTTCACCTGACTCATATTACTACCGTCAGCACATTGTGATTGTTTTGTTGGTGAAATAACTGCAGCCTGTGTTAAGCAAAGAAAATACACCTCAAGCAGTGAAGCGTCCATTGAAGTCATTGCTTCCGCCGGCCCGGGACTTTTCTTTTAATGAACACTAGTGTTGATGATTGTAACATATTCTTTATCATATGATAACTGCCAACTCTTATTTCTATACGTACTGTAAACACTTCTTTCATTATCCTCCAATTCTCCCACGCTATGATCTCTTATTTCTATTTTAACAGCAGACAGGATGTTACAACAAATATCATAATACTGTATTATATTACATTACATTACATTGCATTTAGCTGACGCTTTTATCCAAAGCGACTTACAATAAGTGCGTTCGTCCAACAAAATACAACTTGAAGAAAACAGAATCATATAAGTACATCAGGTTTCATAGAGCAAAAACATTTCAAGTGCTACTCAACTGGCTTTAGAAAAGCCAGTCCTTTATTAGTATATAAGTGCTTCGTTAATAGTTCTATCGCTCGAAGTGGAGTCGAAAGAGATGAGTTTTCAGTCTGCGCCGGAAGATGTGCAAGCTATCTGCTGTCCTGATGTCAATGGGGAGCTCATTCCACCATCCTGGAGCCAGGACAGCAAACCCACGTGTTTTCGCCGTTGGGAACTTGGGTCCCCCTCGCAGCGAGGGCCCAGCGAGTCGTTTGGCTGATGCAGAGTGTAGTGCACGGATATAATTCAATATCATCACGTTATTCAAAACTCTCACATCTGATGTGGATACCACTGGAGTTGAATGTGAACTCTCATTTTGAGGTAGTCGTAGACGCTTTACTGGACCGTGTTGCGCACTGTTGCGGGAATACAATGGATTTCTCAATTGAACAACTTCTCTTTTGACAATCTCTGCGACTACTGAGGACCCTTTTCAGATGGCCTTACTCAAAATAGCCTCACTGATATGTGCTTTTAGATAAAAATGGACAAAGAGTAATTTAAGAATCAAACACTGCCGCTGTCTACGAATTCTGCTGCGGGGCAGTTTGGCAGATAAGGAAACATTTTGTAATGTTTACAGTAGTAGACATCCATGATACTATGACGTGAACTTCACAGGCATCAGATTTTTGTCTGCATTAAACTGCAGTCAAACACAGGAATGAAGTCTTTATTAAATCTGTGCCCTGCGGTATTAAATATATCATTGGTTATCTTTATGTCCATCATAAAGAGATGTCAATTCTAGCAATGGAATTTTCTATGAGTAATGTGGCACTAGTGTCTATGAGGACTCCAGCAGCTATGGGATGATGAGAAACAATGGGCCTTTTGCGGGACGCAACATAAGAAAAATATTTCCTCTTATTTTAGTTTGTATCCACAATGTGTTCCTCAACACCCATTCATTTCTGGGATTTTGCAATGGTCAAGAACACTTTTAGATTAAAAAAAAAGAAACAAACAATATCAATTATTGTGTGTGTATACAAGACATGGAGGAAGCGTGGCCTTAAAGGTCATCTATTATGCAAAATCCACTTGTTCATGTCTCTTCTACATCAACATGTGTTCCCTCTGTGTAAAGAGATTCTGAAAGTTTCAGGAAAAAAGATTCTCTTACTTTTTGTCCTGAAAATGAGCTGATCAGATTTTGTCCACTTTATGATGTCATAACGGTTTTTTGGCTTGTGTAACCATTAGCCAATCACCAACCAAGGTAACCCCCCCCACCTTATCACCTGCATTTCCTCCTAGAGCACCATTGTGTTCTTTTTAACCAAATCTCTCTCAGAGGGGCGTGGGGAGGGGCTCCTTATTTTCATCTAAAGTAACAGACAGAGAATCAGCACTTTTGAAACAGGGCTGAAACAGAGGGGATTATGGGATGCTACAATGCATGACCTGTTTGGTGTTTCAGCCAAACACTATAGAGACATGTTTGTATATATCTGAGACCTATAATATATTGATGAAAAACAGTATAATAGGGGACCTTTAAATGCTGGCACCACACCTTGTTAAATATAAAACTAGTATACTGTATATGACAGGCTTATTGTAAATCCACTCGGACTAAATACCTAAAATGACCTCATCAGTGGATGTTTATAACATGTTTGATGACTGTGTCTCTCTTTTCTCCAGTCATCCAGTTTGGTTTTGTCTCTCTGTTCGTGGCTTCGTTCCCTCTCGCTCCGCTCTTTGCTCTACTGAACAACGTCATCGAGATCCGACTGGATGCCAAGAAGTTTGTTACGGAGCTACGCAGGCCGGTTGCCGTACGTGCTAAAGACATCGGTGAGTGCTGTGACACATGTAACCTTCTCATAAATACTGTAAGTCTCCCTCATATATAGAGTTCACATAGAGATAGAGTACATATGGTTCTGCAGATACTGACAGCTGATCTAATCTCCAGCCCAATTGTTTTATTTGTCCAGTTGTAGCGAAATTCCTTGCATTTTAGAAGTCTGCAGAACTAATAACATTCCCATCCCCCTCAGCTGTACTGTGTGTTGAGTGCTAATATGAAAATATTAGCTTTCTAATGCGGTAAGAACAATACGGTGAACAAGGTAAACATATGCCTCCTTAACATCAGCTGGAATTTTAGCATGTTAGCATTACAACTACTTTGCTGTGGACACTTATCCTAAAAGAAAATCTGCAGAAACTTGTGCCAATACAACTAAACTTTAAAAAAAACAAAAAAAAAAACTTTTAAACTAAATTAAGTTTGATTGGATTGCTTTCAGAAACCCATGTTGCAACTGCACTTCATACAGATCTGTGTGTTTTACCGCTTCTACTTCTTATCTCTTGAACCTCTCTCTCTGTCTCTCTCTTTTATTTATTTGTATTCTATAGGCATATGGTACAACATACTGAGTGGAATGGGAAAATTCTCTGTCATTATAAATGTAAGTATTAATGCAATGGAATGCATACCTCTATCTGCCCGTTGAATTAGTGATGCAGACAGATATATACCTACAGGAAATGCATCAACGCAGGTTCATAATGTGACTGTTTATGGTCCCCCATAAGGCCGCTCTCTAGCAGCCTCTCTGTGCAATTTAAATGGAGTCACCATGTCAGATTTAGGTGGAAGTCCAAGGATTCACTTGACATCACCAAGGCCAGTTATAGTCATGAGGAGGGTTACTCAGCAGCATTAATGTATTCTGTGGAATAAATTATTCTGTGTCTCATTGAGTTATGGTTAGCTACGATTATTATACCATGACTAGGCAAAATGTTCCTGAGAAGCACTTTCAATAATAAAAAAAAACCTTTCTTTTCTAAGTACAAATAAGTGAGATTTAATTTTTCAAGTAAATTATTTCAAATGATCTAGACTTTTTTAGATTAACTTTGTTGTACTTTTTCTAAGTTGCATTAGTTAACCAACGTGGATTTTGAAGAGCTTTTAAGTAGCTTCCACAACCTTGGCTTTGGTATATTTAACATTTTCTTCGTAAAAGAAACATATGTCTACATTTCAATGCCATTACATAATACCGAAGTGTCTTTATTCAGTATTAATGGAAGAAAGCTCAGTTTACTCTCAGGCATCACACTCATTGGTAAACAAAGATTGCATAACACAACAGTGCCGTGCCACAGACCTCAGGCTTCTCTGCAGGAATATATTTCGACTCGTTATCCGGCTTTATTCAGGTTTGCTGCGTGTGAGCATTGTACATACTTGCTAACACTAAATGATCCATGGCTGACTATGATAGCAGTAGATATTAAATAAGAGATTAAACGCTTGTTTGCTCTGAAATATTCTTCTTCTTCTTGACCTTGTCAACATGTTTGTGCACTCAGGAAAGTCCTGCTAGGGATTTGTCTTTGGCTAGCGAGCTAAATCCTATTCAGTTTACTTTTAATACTAAAGAGATTTCTGTAGGATTTGAGAAACAAGCAGCTGGACCTTTTATTTATTCTAGAGCTATGGGGCATTGGACACATATACAAAAACCTAAGCTGCCTCAAGAGCTTCAAGGCGATGGAAAACCGGGAGCAGAATTCCTCTCTTTTTATTGCATGTCGTAACAGTTCTACAGACCTAATCTCAGAATGTAAAGAGAACTAGACTTTAAAACATCTGAAAATAACTGAAAATCACCTGCTGCACATGTTTTGCTGGATGTAAAGTGTTATGTAATTTATCTTTTGTATTGAAGCAAATGTTTATTCTTTTCCTTATCTTTCTCTCTGCAGGCCTTTGTGATCTCCTTCACGTCAGACTTCATCCCTCGGCTGGTTTACCAATACATGTTCAGTGAGACGGGCACCATGCACGGCTTCATCGACCACACGCTCTCCTACTTCAACGTGTCAAATTTTAAACATGGCACGGCACCGCAGAACATAGAGCAAGCCGACATCACCGTCTGCCGGTAACAACACACACAAAGACACACAAACATGTGGATTTGTTTCCTTGATCTAATTGTAAGTTCTTGGAAACAGTTAAGCCAATTCATCTATCTTTAGAGATCTATCAGATAAATTACATTTGGGGTATTTTGTAAGTGGATCAAAGCAATCTGTCATAGACCTTAACAAATCAATAACCCTTCAGTTTCAACAACCAACAGCTGCTAATATAGAGGCTTATTTCTACGCTAATATCCATTCAATCGGACAGAAAGATGTCTCTGTTTCCTTCTGGGTTCATGGAGTCTATCTCTAACTCATTTTTGTATTTCCTTATGTAAGATACCAAGACGCTTAAAGGGAGTTTACGGCAAATGTAGCCATCAGCATTCAATACGTACAATAACATATCATCTGCTTAGAGCATCATATTCATTGAGGTGTAAATAAAGTCGAGATGATGCATTTTACGAGTATTTTTCAGTTATAGGACACTTTTAGGAGCCATAATTAAATGACCACAGGTGATACAATTGTCGATGGCCAACAGACTTTTCCCTTATCTAGCTAATAATCTGCATCAGTCTGAGTTTTACAGGGCGGGGTGATGATTTTTCACATTTAGAAATACAGTGCACTATTGTCTCATCTTCATCTTTCACTCATGCCAGTGGCAAGCATCGCTTTCATAACATCAATATAAGGCGTGGAAGAAAAGGTCATGGATGCCGGCGCCCACAGACTGAGGTCCGTCTGCTGTTACATAAGACAGCTAATCATTAGATTGCAAGAATACAGTCTTTGTGCCAAAGTGGTGTGGTACGTCACGCCCAAGAACGGCCACATACTGGATGCCGTTGAACGCCTATAGGCATGAATGCGGCTGGAGGATGTTCAAAGAAGGCTGTGAGTGTCTGCAGTGTGTGTGTAGGGCTCAATAGTGTGTGTGCAGATGGTGATTTAGCTGATTAAGCCTAATGACTGAACTCATGTAATTTAAAGTATTTTAGATGCTACAGACAACTCAGTTCATTTAATCCTGGATGAATGAATACATGGAGAGAAGAGAGAAGCTTTCATTAAAAGGAAGATGGGATAGCAAGAGTGGATATATAAGAGAGGAAAGGATGAGTAGAGGCACTGTAGTTGGATGGATGGATAAAAAGATGGATGGTGTGACAGAGGCCAACCACAAAGGTATTAAATCTTTAATTACATTCAAAAGCGGGGATGTGAGGAAGTAAAAGGCATTTTTACTGCGTCAGTGGGCAGAGCATCACTAGATGATGGCTATTTAAAAATGTGGGCAAACTATAAAATGTCAGCTATGTTTCAGAATATTTCCACAAAATAATGATCTTAAAAGGCCTAATGAAATACAGCTAAATCAATTATACAATTACTTAGATATATTACTGATACACTTCATCACTGTGACAGTAATAACTAGGACTCAGCAGTCTCTGGTATTTTAGCAACCTGATACTGAATAAGTGTAAATGTCAATAAACCGTAATATAACACCTGGTGTGTTATCGGCTGCTGTCTACCTCCTTTAAAAAACAAAACATTTCGTATTGAATAAAACACTACACAGCTGGACACACTTTATCCCTTTTCCTTTGCTGAGCTCACTTGTTCACTCTTTAAAAGGACATAAGGAAAGAGAAAACATCATGGATTGTTCTTACTTGTTAAGAGTTTTACCTGGTTTTCCTCACAGCATATGGGCTGATTTTAGTGGTCTCACTGTGCTATAAAAGGGAAAATAAAAATAGTTTTCTTCAAAGGTGTTCCAGGTCCCTGCCCCTGCTATTGTTTATTAGTCCCGGCAGTCATGTGGGATACCTTCCTGTATTTTTTCTCTCTGTACTCCTGACACCAGTTAGCCTTAAATCAAATTGTACTTAGCCTGCGAGCTCTACATTGATTCACAGGGAAACAAACACAAAAACATGAAATCAAGGTCAATAAAAACAAGAGACAGGAAGTATTCAATCATGTGTTCCAGGAAAACATGATACGAGTATCGGGAAAGCAGCACTCTTTAGCTTCCACCTGCTTAACATCAAGACAGTGCTTGTTCCCTGAGCTGACAGGAAGTGGGCTGCAGTTAAACTTTTATCACTTGGAAGTCAAGTGATAGCCAAGGAATAAAGTCATGGATTATAACGTCATTTCTCTCTTTCATTCCTGCAGTTGAGATGTCATGATGATCAAGATTCCTCATGGTCATAAACTGTGTATCCAATCAGTTTTATTCTGTTTAACTGCACATGGAGACCACAAATATCTAAGAGTAAAGCAGCTATGGTTACTTTATTGATCCCTCCTGACTATGAAGTCCAACATAAGGCTATTGTAAGTTTAATTTTGTCCAATTTGAACTCTGAAATTAAATGTGTTTGTTACTTGACTGCGACCTTAATCTGTCAAAGACCAATCTGGTACATGATGGATTGAACGTGTGTTCTCCTCTTGTTTCTGTATGTCTGTATTTTGCCAAGTAATACATTGAAGAGGGATGGAAGTGGTTTGGGTGAAGGTTAGCAGAATGCCAGGCCTGATGTCACTATTCTCCTCGGGGACAGGGAAACAAGAAGAAAAACAGAAAGGAGACAAAGATATACTTTTATATACTTTTGTTTCAGTGTGACCGGAGTTAGCAGTAGTGGAATGTAACAAAGTACATAAACTCAAGTATTGAATTTAAGTATTATTTTTACATATTTTACTTGAGTATTTCCATTTCAAGGTTCAAGGTTCTTTATTGTCAAACTAACATAGCCACAGAGTAATTATGTCGTTGAAAATCTTAGGTCACATTTAATGCAACATGTACTTTTACTCCACTTCATTTTGGAGGCAAGTTTTGTGCTTTGTATTCCATTACATGTATTAAGCACTCAAAGTTACTGGCTACTTTGTACATATGAAAACACATGATTTCATTTTTAATATAGACAGTCATTTAAAGTTACTAAAATTGGCTCCAGTTTGACAAACTACATGTATGAAAAAGAGCCATTCTGCAAACGGAGTACTTTCACTTTTGATAAACAAAGTCCTTTTTACTGATAATACCTCTGTACTTCTACTAAAGTAACAGTTTAAATACAAAATGTATACTTGTATTGGAGGAATTTTAAGACCATAGGGATTCTACTTTTACTCAATTTAAGGACCTGAGTATTATTTCCACCAGTGTGATTGTGTGTGTGTCAATGTGGGGGAACACACAGGTTTTCAAGTCTTTCACACACTAACTATAATCTCATTATGAAAGAATATTGAGCTGCGCATTATAACCAAACATGGAGCGAGTAGAGGAAGAGGAGAAGCATTTCTTTGATACCATTTTATGTTTGATTCCACCCAGGCAGCTCAGTTAAATGAGTGACAGGAGGGAGGTCTCACAGCTGAGTTCACGTTGGAAGTTGAACTATTACGAAATACTGTAAAACAGAGGGAAAGATGAACAGATCAAAGATCAGAGAGCGGGAGAGAAAGCTGAGTCTCACGGGCAACATTCCTCACTCATGACTGTATAAGGAGAAGGAATCAGACACCATAAGAGCCTGCTTACACACACACACTCACACACAATGCACACACACACATGTCATCCTCTATACTGCTGCTCAAGTGCTGTGAGACACTCATTCATTCATCATCGCTTCACAGCAATTTGTTCGCGAGTGTGTGTGTGTGTGTGTTTGAGGGGGTTGAATGATTAAAACTTTGATCTGATTCATCGCATTACATTTTTTGAGTGTGATGCGCGTTTCCTGCATTGCTGCTCAAGTTCTTTTTTGAAACATTGTTAATTGGGTTACAGTGGTTACATCAGAGCATGCACAGTTTCAAAAGACAAATATTAACTCTTCACTACAATATTAAAGCAACATTTGTAATATTCAAATTATTTTGAATATTTAAAATATTTTATTAAAGGGGCCCTTATATGCTTTTGATTGATTTTGTCCATGAAGACTGCTATAAATATAGCTCGAGTTCCACATGATGCTGATCTTTGTCTATAAATGTCTACGATGTCTTCTGTACATCTAATGGTTGGGAGTATGCATTTTTCGGCACAAAGATGTTATCTGGACAATAATGGGCTGCTATCGCCTTGACGGGAATGTTATATGTTGAGAGAGACATCGCAGAGAGAAAGGCTGACTTTTAAATCAGCTGTTGTGAAAATGGAGCACAGAAGTAACATAAAGACTCGATCCCCCCCTCCAGAATCACCCCCTGACCCTTACTGCACACTCGTGCCTTCAAGAAATATTTCAATGTAATGGCATGAATAACGTTTTTAACAGACCATCATTTCTGGAAGCATGGCAGATTGAAGAGCCTTCCTTGATTGTTGAGTTGAGAGTTCTTGCCTCTCAGTTAGACGTTTTAAGGAAGTGAGGTGGCCTATAGTACAGTCGGTTTTTATTTTATTTTTCATCAATTTGAAAACGTGTCACTTCATTTTGAAGCAGAGCTGTCTCGACCTCTGCCAACTGTTGTTTTGATGAAGGGATGATTTAGATTCAAACCGGTTGTGTTTTTATTTTTCCATATGTAGATGACTGACTGCCTCCAAATAGTTACATTTGAAACAAAGAGCATAAAGAGAGCAGGAGTGATTGCATGCAGCAGGGAGCAGCTTGGCTTTGTACAAGCAAACTGATGAACACAAGCTTGCTGTAACTTGTTTGCTTCTTGATATAAAAAGAAAACATATTGTAAAACTAACAAGGAAAATTACTCTCGTAGAGAAGACTGTCTGATAAAAAATAAATGACTTTGATCTGAGGCGTGATGTGACCTGCAGGTTCTGCATGCACAGCAAACCAGATTACACAACCATCAGCTTATAAAACAAACCAAACTAGTCGTCGAGCATTACATATACATTATGTATATGTAATAATACATACGACATGAAAAAACATTAAAAAGAGTACATTTTGAAAATGACACAATGCGGCAAGTAAAATGCAGGATAAAGTAAACTATGTACATGTAAAATAAAATGTTTTATTTTTAGTAGTACAGAACAGCTTGTTGCCGGGGTGATGCGGGTCTTTAGTGATCCCGTTGACCTTCTTCCTGAGCTGCTGGCTATAGTGCAGCTCCGTCCTGGTAATGTTCTGTGCAGTTTTCACCACCCTCTGTAGAGTCTCACGGTTTAGGGCGGTGCAACTGCCGTACCAGGCCGTGATGCAGCCAGTCAGGATGCTCTCTATGGTGCACCTGTAGAAGGTCAGGATGCTCTCTATGGTGCACCTGTAGAAGGTCAGGATGCTCTCTATGGTGCACCTGTAGAAGGTCAGGATGCTCTCTATGATGCGCCTGTAGAAGGTCAGGATGCTCTCTATGCTCTATAGCAGTGGTTCTCAACTGGTCAGGCCTCGGGACCCACTTTTTCCTTTGTCAATAAATCGCGACCCGAAATTTTGAACCACTCAAATCTATTCAACAAAAAATCGTGCTGTAATATACGCTTTTCAGCAGACAATATTAATTAAAGTGAAGTACAGTGCATATATCCCTTATATCCTTTCACAGAACTAAAGTATGCTTTTAAACAAGGTTTAATGAGATGATGGAATCAAAGATGAACTGTATAACATAAAAAGGCACACATGCTGAAAACCCAACCCCAGCAGGGGGTCTGGGGGGGATTCTCCCCCAGGAGATTTTTAGAAGTACTAACATATAAACTACGCATTCTGGTACACTCTGAGAAGAAAATAAATAAATCTATTACTACCCGACATATTAATAATATTTTATGCCATTGTTTGTTTTTCACTTTGTTCTGACAGCTGAACTTTCTGCTCCACACAGAGAGAAGAGCAAAGAGGAGATAGTCTGTGTGAAATACTTTAAATTGCGGGTAAGAGTAGATAGCTCCAATTGTTCTGTGACCTGTCAATCATCAAACCGGGGATCATATTTCATTACGTGTTCATTTGTATCTGAAGTTCTACCCATGGATGTATAAAGAATAGTTCTAACGCAAAGTTATTCTCCGTGGGGACTTCCGGCAACAATCTTGATTCTGATTCGAAAAAACATGTTTTATTGAGAAGATGATCACTACGTGACAGAAGTTTTCAAAACCGTTCATGGTCTCCGGTACTTCCAGTCCAACGCCTACTGCATGCACAGCGTTAGAAAATTGGGCCTTAAAAATAAAAGTTTGATTTAAAATAAAAATAAAAATCACTCACATCTGTGACCCACTCGAAGCGGGTCCGCGACCCACTTTTGGGTCGCGACCCACCAGTTGAGAACCACTGCTCTATAGTGCACCTGTAGAAGGTCAGGATGCTCTCTATAGTGCGCCTGTAGAAGGTCAGGATCCTCTCTATGGTGCACCTGTAGAAGGTCAGGATCCTCTCTATGGTGCACTTGTAGAAGGTCAGGATCCTCTCTATGGTGCACCTGTAGAAGGTCAGGATCCTCTCTATGGTGCACTTGTAGAAGGTCAGGATCCTCTCTATGGTGCACTTGTAGAAGGTCAGGATCCTCTCTATGGTGCACTTGTAGAAGGTCAGGATCCTCTCTATGGTGCACTTTTAGAAGGTCAGGATCCTCTCTATGGTGCACCTGTAGAAGGTCAGGATCCTCTCTATGGTGCACTTGTAGAAGGTCAGGATCCTCTCTATGGTGCACTTGTAGAAGGTCAGGATGCTCTCTATGGTGCACCTGTAGAAGGTCAGGATGCTCTCTATGGTGCACATGTAGAAGGTCAGGATCCTCTCTATGGTGCACTTGTAGAAGGTCAGGATGCTCTCTATGGTGCACTTGTAGAAGGTCAGGATGCTCTCTATGGTGCACTTGTAGAAGGTCAGGATGCTCTCTATGGTGCACTTGTAGAAGTTGCAGAGTATCCTGGAGTCCATGTTGAACCTCCTTAGCCTGTGGAGGAAGAAGAGCTACTGTAGTGTCGAGCTGTTTTGGTGGAATTCCATGTCACGTCCTCAGTGATGTGAACCCATGCGAACCATAAGCTGCTGTCTTTCCACCATAGTCTTGTTGATAGTCTCTCTTTTGCTTCCTGTTACCCTCAAGCTAAATCTTAGCTTTGCTGAAACAGTTGTGTAGAAATAAATTGGCAAAATAAAGTCAGATCGACCAAAAACAAATGCAAAATACACTGAACAAAAATATAAACGCAACACTTTTGTTTTTGCTCCCATTTTTCATGAGATGAACTCAAAGATCTAAAACATTTTCTATATACACAAAATAACCATTTCTCTCAAATATTGTTCACAAATCTGAAAAAATCTGTGATAGTGAGCACTTCTCCTTTGCCGAGATAATCCATCCCACCTCACAGGTGTGGCATATCAAGATGCTGATTAGACAGCATGATTATTGCACAGGTGTGCCTTAGGCTGGCCACAATAAAAGGCCACTCTGAAACGTGCATTTTTGCTTTATTGGGGGGGTCCAAAAACCAGTCAGTATCTGGAGTGAGGGGTAGGGTTAGGGTTAGGGTAATGTTGTGAATCGAGTGGCCTGTGTTCGTCGTCCATACCATACGCCTGCCCATACCATAACCCCACCACCACCATGGGCCACTCGATTCACAACATTACCCTAACCCCAAAAACAAAAGTGTTGCGTTTATATTTTTGTTCAGTGTATGTATTGCAAGAAAAAATGGCAGTTTTTTTCCCAATTGCGTGTAGACCTACCTTGCAGTTTCATCACGCTCTTTATTTTCTCCCGATGTGTTCGTCTCTACTCAGGCCAGTTGCAGCACTTTGTTCTGAAAGCCAACACATAGAGCAGCAGCACTGCAGCCCGTTTGTCCGACTGCCACAGGCAACATGTTTTGGTTTGAATGGCCTACAGTCTGACACCCCTGCACCAACCAGCAGAGTGATCTCAGGAAGTCCCTCAGCACCATGACAGTCACACAGCAGTCAGCTGGCTTGGGACACACTATAAAAGCAGCCAGCCACAGACAAAAGGAACATTTTACTTTTTAATGATGTTAAGAGAAATCTGGGGGGGGGGGGGGGGGGTTGGAGACAAAAAAGCACCAACATGTGATCGTATCTATAGGATGACCCAATTTAATAATGACAAACCAAAGACTGGCTCCAGACTGTTTTATTTTCTTATTTATGATCAATCCTTTACCTCCTCAAGCCTCTCCTAAAATGTGGACCTCGTGTGTGTGTGTGTGTGTGTCTTGTTGATTCTCTTTCTTTCTTTCTATGTCGTCAACATGGTTCGACTTTTTTCAGCACTTTGTTTCTGCACAACAAAGAATGTTTACTACAAATAAAACAAGAGGAAATCATCTGGATACAGTTTATTGCCCTTCTAAGGGAGCTGCATAGTGGGTCGGAGGAGTAGGATGTTTAAAAAGGGTACAGGTCTCACGTGAAGATAAATCGAGTTTAACTCACGGGTTGAGAGCGGGTTAAGTCATTCAAACTGCCATGCTTGTTTTATCTGTTGACTTAGTGTCTTTCTGTAGCTTTACTCTCCGTGTTTAAAGCCTTTTTATTATTTCAGGGGTTTCCCTTTTCACTCGTGTGTTATATAGGTTTTTGTGCATGTAAATGATCCGTGAAAGGCTAAACTCCCAAAGTTCGAGAGTTTCTCTCCCACACTCCCCCCCCCCCCGCGCCTGAAACGCCTCCATTGGACACTCGTGCTTCTATTTGTTAGCAGAGCAGACTGGGCTCTAGTTTCAGACAGAGGGTAAAAAGAGGTCCTGTAGAACTAGAAATAAAGCACTTTTCAAACATTAAAGCATATAAACATGTCACAGTAGAGGCACAAGATACAAATATGAACCTGAAAATGATCATTATAGGGCCCCTTTAAGAATGCTACTGTTTATACTAGTACAATAACTATAAATGGGTAGTTTTTATTTATTTTTACCCAGACAACCACTTTAAACTGAATGCTATATATGTGTGTGTTTTGTCCCAGGTACAAAGACTACAGGGAACCCCCCTGGTCTCCAGACGCGTACACCATCTCCAAACAGTACTGGTGTGTCCTGGCTGCAAGACTGGCTTTTGTCATATTGTTCCAGGTATGTGCTCAGAAACAACATGAAGAGAATAGCAAACTAATTACGAATGGGAAGACGAATATCAGTCAGAAGGAGCAGACCTCCACCAAAACCATTGCTTAATTCAGGTGCTCCTCTGATGATGCCGTTTCCAGAGTTGGGAATTTGTTCTTCCAACACGAGTGTGTTCATTAGCGTTTATACATTATGTGAGAACAACATGGATGCTACAAGGAAGACGTGTTGGATCTTGCTTCTCTGAGCATTTAAACATCACGTTGATAGCTGTTCCAGAGTGGAGGGGCGTTCACGTGGATCATCCCAGACGGAATATCATTTTCATTTTCTCCACTACTCCAAAACCATAGGCATGCAAAGCAAATGCCTTATCATAATATTTGAATCTGCACCTAAACCAGTGGATTATTCCTTGGCCCGAGCTTAACCCTTCCACCAAGTCCCTTGAAAATCAGGCCAGTAGTTTTTCTCTAATGCTGCAGACAGACAGACAGGCAGGCAGGCAGACAGACATAACCTTTTTGAAGGTTATAATTAGTAAGACCCATAAACATGTTAGAGCACCTATTACTCTGCCCACACACTTCTGCAGTAAAATGGAACAGATTTGTTTCGATAAAAAGGCATATAAATAAATGTATAAGGCCAGGTGGATCATAGAGTGCTCTCATCCTAATGGGGAATGTTACCATATGCATCAGTCATTCAGCAAGCAGCTTATTTGATAAACATCCGTCTGTCCGCCGGCACGCCTCACTTACATATGGATGCCAGATGTCCTTCGACAACTAAGCTGTGGGAGTTTACCTCCAATACTGCTGCAGATAAGTGTCAGACGTGAACAAAGTTTGGGAAACACCTTTAAAACCCTGCTCGCCAACACGGTAAGCAGCAGTGTTGTGTTGGGGTACACGAAGCAGACGATTTCGCCAATTTGTATCCAAGTGCTTGCTTGTCAACCAGCACCTTTTGCATAAAATCACATGACACTGCTCGTCATAACTGCAGAACTTGCCTGAGAATCATCACGTGATACTTCTATTTACATTCCCAGCTACATTGCAAAGACTTAACGTGTATTCAGCCTACTTTATATGGTGCCAGGTTAAAAAACATGTCTCCAGATGTAGCCTTCAGCGTACCTTACCAAATCCATGTGATGATGATACATTTAACACCCCCCCTAATCCTTCCCTAACACCCAAATTATACAAACTGTAGTTCCTAAACTTGACCTACAATGTCCTATCCACATGCTTCATACACTATAAAGATATTGTGTTGAAAACCCTTTCGAGATCCTAAATCTTCCTCCTTCCTTCAGAATCTGGTGATGTTCCTCAGCCTCGTGGTGGCCTGGGGGATCCCTGACGTTCCCAAAACTATCGTGGAGCAGTTCAAACGGGAGAAGAAGCTCCTGGTCGATGTTTTCCTACGGGAAGAAAAGGAGAAATTCCAGCTCATCCAGAGCCTCTTCTCCAAGGATGCCACCCACCAGCTGAGCACCAACCCCCTCAGCCCGGGCCAGGTCCTGCCCCTCCTGGGCCGTTACAGTACTCTCCCCCCAGGACCCACACAGGGCTCAGGGGACGGAGGGGGGCCGAGGGCCAGGTGCAGGGCCGCCAGCTTCAGCCAGTTCACCAGGAGCATTCCTCCGTCTCCCAAGAATGAAAATGAGAATTCAAGACACACGGCAGTTTGACGAGTAACACACACATCCGTAGGGGTGCTGCAACTTGGACTGGATGACATGTTGCTCAATGGATGTCCGTGTCTTTGTCTTTTCTGTCCTGTTGTGTCTGAGACAGTAGTGCTGGGATTGAAAATAACCACGTCCCATTGGTCTCAGTGTGGTTCCACACTGATGTGTCTGTGTTGTTCCTACCCGACTGTTCATCTGATAAAGTGATATCATTTTTACGTTTTGGTAAAAAAAAGAAAAACACATGATTTAGCGAGGCACTCTTGCTTCATAGCGTAGATAAGCAATAATAACAGTGTTAGGCTGAACAATCAAATAATACATAAGCTGGCAGATGAGATCAAGGAAGAACTCCGGACAGATTCAGGGATGGACACGGGCTAATTTCTAGGAACTTTCCTGCTTCATGTGCTCCTTAAGTGTTTCTTTCATCAGAATTGGTAGCAGCTGCAACATTCCACATGTCCTGTTCTTTTAAATACATGGTACTGAAAGCACACAGGAGCCTCCGAAGAGAGCAAGTCCTCTTCTGTGTTCCAGTGGATTTTTTCTTCATGGACTTCAAGAATCCCCTTGGATCATTTTCAAACGTTACTAGGGTTGTAGTGTTAGTCAGCTGCTGGTCATTTTGTCTCTACATTCTGCTCTACGGATGCCAATGTGGCACCCTGTTGCATGCCACTCCTAGATCATAGACATTACACATTACATGTCACTTGTTAGACGATTTTATCCAAAGCGACTTACATACATTCAGTACTGTGGACAATCCCCACAGGAGCAATTTGGGGTGAAGTGTCTTGCCCAGGGACACAACGACATGCTGACTGCAGTGGGACTCGAACTTGCTACCCCCTGATTCGAAGTCCATCACACTACCCACAGTCCAAGAAATAGATGATCTGTGAAGCATTTTTTTCCCCCAGCCATATGCACTTGTCTAGACTGAGTACAAAATGACAAACTGTGAATGGCGAGAAATTATCTTTTTTATTAACAATCCTTCTTTCAAAATGTCGGACTGACTCATGCAGGTAAGTAAAACATGTGGGTTTCTACTGCCCAAATAGACAGGTTGCGTCCCTCATAAAATAACTTGTGAGCCATCCATTTCTTCTTATTAGAATTTTTAACTCAAGTAGCTTTTGCATGTTAGGTCAAACTAATATTCAAATCCTCCTCACTTTTTGTGCAAGGAAATATAAGCTATAACGATACAGCAGCTAACGTTTGTCTGTCTTCTGCTAGTGGATTGGATGATAGAGGATAGCGTTACTTATTGTAACATTAATACAAGACATTCACCCCTGTTTTTTTCAACAAGCACACACAGTAGTTATTACCTTATTAACATAATGCTCTAAACACTGATGGGACTAAATCATGAATAACAATGGCAGCCCAGAGGCTTCATTTTCTGTGTGTTTGTTGGAATTAAAGCATTTTTAGTGCCTACACTAAATATAATGTCGCTTAATTTACCAGTATTGGTGGTGAAATGGTATAAAAGGTATTATTTTAATTCCAACCGTGTATTGATAGAAGTAACATTCTATGATAGTGTTTTTACACTGTTGCTGCTGCTGTGTTTTAATATCTTGGTTTTAGATTTAATCTTATGATTTTTAATCGTATAAATCTTTATAACGTGTTGTTTTCTATATCTTTGTATTCAAGCAGCTTTTAACTGATTTCATTAATGTTTCAATAGAGTCCATAGCCCTAATTAAGTCATCTGTAAAGTGAAGAAATGAGTCAATGGAATCATACTTTTGAATTGAATCTAACACTGCCATCACAATAATAGTGGGATTTATGCATTCACTTCCACAGATAATACAGGCTTTGCATGTGAAATCCAGCTAAGTCTGAGCGGCCCAACTTCAAATGTCTTTTAAATGAATGTGTGCCATCTTGGAACACCAAATCCAGTTCTTGTTTCAATGTTTAAATGCCGACACGCTGTAAACCCTTAGGACAGTTTCCTTTTAACTTCTCTTGTATTTCCAATACAACACAAATAGCAACATGTGTCTGCCCATTTAGGACTTGTAATGTATTCATAAGGACTTAAGGAAGGAAATGTTGTGCCGGATTCTGTTCTAGATGAAAGAGAAATGTTTATACTTACCTGATCCTAACCCTTACTCAAAGCTCTTAAATACATGATTGTTACATGGATTATAAAATAATTGTACATGTTGTGTGATCTGTTTGCTTTTATCTCATTGATCAGTTGTTATTTTTGGGGTATTCTGACCAAAATAATAATCCTCCAAAAAAGATAGACATGCTGAAGGCTGAAGCAGCATATGGTAATGCCACCATTTTGACATCAATATATTCACATGTACGCTAATTAAGTTGCTTATTTATTGGACATAATGGAGAGCCGTTGGGACACAGTTCAAGGGAAACTAGAATACATCTGGATATTCCTGCACTTTGGGAGGAGTGATAAGTGAGGGTAGCGTGGACTATTGGAGTAAGTCCTGTTTGTAGTAAGAAGAGGGGCAGATAAATCAATCCAAATAAAGGGAGTGGGAAAGCGTGGGAAATAGTGGAATGTGAAAAAACCGTGGAAGGAAGAGATTAAATTCATAAGGATAACGATTTATAAATAGTAGTGGATCGCCGGAGCTGTTAGATTAACATTAACATCAGTGGCGGCTGGTGGAAAATATTTTTGGTGGGGCTTTTGATATAGTGAGTAAACATTTTTTTTTTGGGAGAAATGACCCCTTAAATTAGGACTTCTGGTGATGTAATGGCGCGTTTCCAGTGCAGCGCGGAACTCGCTTTAATGCTGCGTTCAGACCGGACGCCATGCGAATATTCGCTTCGCTCTAAACGCTCCTATCGCATCGCTCTAGTCCAGTGTTTCTCAAACTTTTTCATACCAAGGACCACTTAACCAATAACAAAACACTCGCGGACCACCTAACTCCACAAATATCCCAAAACACATCGTTTTTTACAAATCGCCTGAAAATGGTACAAACAAGTGGCAACATGTGTGATGAAGGAGTTTATTTGGACTATATCATGCAATTGAAAGTGAAACTTAAGCTCGCTCCATTGCAGAGATATTGCCGCGAGAGTGCGGAAAACTTAAATAAATAAATGTATTTCAAATGTGAAATGTTACCAATATACTCACGGACCACTAGGGGGCACTCACGGACCACCAGTGGTCCGCGGACCACACTTTGAGAAGCACTGCTCTAGTCGCTCGAGTTTCACCGCGGCTGCCAGCTGTGTTTACTCGCATCATTCAAACAAGACGCGCTGGCTCGGGAGCTACAACTACAACAAAATGAACATATTTTACCGTGATTAAATTGTAATACACGTTTCTAAATGATGCCGACGTAACAACATACTGATACCGGTTAGTAAAAACCATGAATTAATGCTTTGACAAGTCTGCAGACAGACGGCAGGCGAAAAACCTTTTAGAATGCTTGTTTTCTGAATGGAGCTTGGCTAAGCTAACGTTATATATGTTCCGACCGTCCACACTCACAACAACGGCCTATACAGACATAAATAAACCAGCGACTGTATTCTCCATGACACAGACAGTCTGTGGTTTGTACTTGTTTAACTTTTGTCTAGTTTCTGAACAGATCGTATCTCTCCCCGGCTGTTTGAAGAGCAAGCATGGGAAACAAAAGATAGCATTTACCTGTTTGCATCGTTTGCATCCAGCTAGCCTCGTTGATACGTTTTGTCTTTTTCACGAGCTTGCTGTGATATATACAAATCGAGTTGGTCCGGTCCAAGGTCTTTATCAATTTATCTCCCAAACTTCTCCTTTGGAAAGGATTGGAGAGTAGCTCTTGCACGGAATTGGGTGCGCACCGAGGTCCGGCGACTCCACCTGCACACCATTCTAAATACTGCGTCACCTTGGTCACTCACGAGTCTAAAAAACAACTCACGTCACGTAAGCAACGTGGGCACCAACGTGAGCACCCTCGTGACCAAAATATTTGACGGCGCTGATTGGCTGAAATTATGTTTCGGCGGCACAGTTTACTATTGAGACTTTTGCAACGTGCTGGTTGCTGCTGTTTGTCTCGTGGGCTCCGCCCGGTAATGATAAACTAATGCCATGGGCAAGGCCAGGCAGGAAACATGTGACTTATCAGTAACTTTAGACATCGTAACACAATTTTAAACGAGATTTTATTGTAGATTATACATTTTACTGATACCAATTGTATGATATTTACCTTGTTCATTAAAAATAAAAATATAAAATATATATATTTTTTTTATATATATTTTTATAATATATTTTTTTAATTTAATATTTTTTTTAATGTTTATTTTTTAATGTTGGAAGAGGTGGGGCGGCGCCCCTAGCGCCCCTATGGGCCGGCCGCCACTGATTAACATGCTTATTGTAAGTGCACTGCCTTGCGGCCTGTGGCACCATGGAGCATATGTGGGCTGGACCTGTATTTTACAGGAAAGGAGTGAGCAGAGGGTAGAGTTGTCGATTCTTGTTCTGTTTTCTGTGACTATTTTCCTCACCATGCTGAACACCCTCTCAGACTTTCAGCTGCTTGTGCTACTAAAGAGACGCGCTGCCATGGAAACCAAACAATGGTGTAGCTGTATTAAAGTCTGAGTCGAAACAGTGGTGAGTACATCTGATTTTGTCAGAAATCGGGAGAAATGCGGGAGAAATATGACCCCGGTAGGCAACCGGGAGAGGACAATAAATCGGGAGTCTCCCGCGAAAATCGGGAGGGTTGGCAAGTATGTGACATGACAGTGGACACATCCATGATTTTGAACAGTAGTGAATGTCTGCTGATCAAATCACTGAAAAAGTAGTAAATCCTGTTTGTTTTTCACAATTTTAACAGAACTGTTTTGGTAGTGTCTTGGTAAAATGTGATCCTTACTGGCAACTTACTATTGTTCATCTGTTACTTATCTTTTGTCTTTACAACTTCTGGTTTTGTGTATAGGCCTTGCTTAGGGACTATACAGATACACTGCATTGTCCATTCTAAAAAACAAACAATAAATAAATACACGTTACATAGCTGCCTTTAGATAAGAGTGGAAGAACTGTCCTATATATCTGAGTGTTTTTTAAATCTCAATCAGTAGGGAAATAAAGGTGGATAAACTGTACACAGGAAGTTGTGTTGGCACAAAAGCTATAGCAGACTTAACCTACATAGCCAAACTGCAAATAGGCTACCTCAATGTCCAAAAACCTATGGACTAACTGTCTGAACTAATCTTCTCCTTGCTAACTATATTTCACTCTTTAAATTGCCCCATATATGTTTAGCTTTGAATCAGAACTTGAATATGTATTCCTTTGTTATTTTCAAATTAAGACAACTCCATGTGCCACCGGAAACTGCATGAGTCGCCATTTCTGAGGTAAGTCTTACTAATGTGCCCTGCTGGTTGGGATTGTGTGTGTGTGGTAACATCAAATGAATTCAAGATTCAAGATCAGGGAGTTTTCTTCATTTGAATGTGATACCACCGTTCAGTTGTGGGTGTTGCACGACACGTACATTCAAATGCAAATTACATAATATTAATTTAGCATAAAGCAAATTACAATAAGTGCAATCATTCATAAACATACAAACCTGGAACAGCAATGACCCTGCAAGTCCATTAGCTTTCAATAAGCCAAACCATTTTCACTAACATTTTGCATTTACTTTCAAATAAGCCAAACAGTGATAGATACAGAAATTAGAAGGTTATTTTCACTGTGCAAGGTGGAATGTTTTTTTCTTCCACTCTGCTGCCGAAGATGTGTAGACTTTCCACTGTCCTAAAGTCAATGGGGAGCCCGTTCCACCATTTTGGAGCATATAGAAATATGATTTACGCTACCAGGTCCCACTCGCACTCGCGATTGACTGATATAGAGCAAAGTGCACATGATGAGTGTATGGCTTACCATGTCCTGATTGTAGGAAGGGCCTTAGCAACTTTATGGGATTCATTTTCCTGACAAGTATGTGTGATCGAGAAAAATGTGCTCCACAGATTTCGGTGAAGTCTTGAACTGGACAGGACAGAACTCGATGAATAGTACCTTTAGTTTCAGCTCTCCAAGAAAAAGCTGCTGCTCTGCAGAAGATGTATTAACCCACAACTTAACCAAATCCGGATGTGCAGCAGATTTATTATTTCTATATTCACAAATCCGATTCCTCTGTCTGATCTAACTATGTGCATTTCCAAAGAGGATTATGTAAGTTAATGCTTGATATAGTCGGGTCATTCGACAAACCCTGCTCTCAGTGACCACATGCACGTAAATATTTGGCTTTTTCAAAGGCTTACAGTAGCTTTAGCATTAGACAGGCAGAACTTAAGCTGATGGCTGTGAAGGCAAACGCAGGCTAATATAAAATGACTGAAAGCTGATGGATAATTTAAGCATCAAGAGTCCCACCGGTTTTCCCCTAACTAGGGTAGACCTGGACAAAACTTGAAAAAGGGAAGGAAAGGATTGAGAGAACAGAAAAAGTTCAGTAATAAATGTATTTACAAAGAGAGGATGGCCCTGAAATGCCTTTTAATTTTACATTCACCATTCTAGCTTTGAACTGTGCCAACAAGCAAACTGCTCTAATGTCTGACTGTAGTAGCTCTGCTAGGAACTGACTCACACCTTGACGCAGGTTTGATTTATAAAAGAAAAGTATTTAAGTAAAAGTCAAAATGTCTTCCTTTAATGTATGCACAGCAATCTGAACTGAAAGGCAGATTTAAACATGCTATACAGTAAGACACAATACCAAGCAAGCACACAATGAACCATGTAGATATTGTACAATACATTTATTCAAAAAAATTGTTTTGATTCTGAACACTGGTTAATTGCGGGCGTGCATTGGTTCCACATGCCTCTGGCTGATTCCTGGCCTGCCCTGATCTGTCTCAGTATTCATTCACATTCATACTTTTACTCATTGTACTCTTCCAGTCATACGCACAACCGTTCTGAGAAGTAATATTCCAAATACCACACCCCCTTTGACGTCAGGTCAAAACAGAACAGAAATCACTGGAAACAATTCTTCCTTAATATCAAATCCCAATCACATTAAGCTATCCAGTGAGCTGTTTACATTGTGAGGTGAGCTCCAAGATATAGGTAAATGTAATGAATTCTGAACTAACCCTTAACCAACCGGATTATTACATTGT